CCTTTTAGAGACTGAGTGCCCAAACTGCAACTCAAAACCCACTTATGCATCGTCGAGTGCCGGGTGGGTGTGGCCCATTGGCTGGGTGTGACCAATTGGGTGGGCGTGGCTGCGGTAGTAACAGCAGACTGGGTGGGACTAAAAAGTTCAATCAATCAATTCCAACTTTGCAAGATCTTTTTTTTCCCCCCCCAAGAAGTTGAAATTGACTGATTGATTGAACCTTTTTTTTTTTTTGCACATGGCGGCAGTGAAGGCCTAAAGCGAAAAGGTTTTATAAAACCCAGCTGAAGGCCTAGGACTGGGGTGACGGTGCGCGTGCCCACAGAGAGGGCTCTGAGTGCCGCCTCTGGCACCCGTGCCATAGGTTCGCCACCACTGACCTAGTTGCTTTGTACCTAGGGCAGGATTAGAACTCACAGTCTCTGGGTTTTTAGCCTGATGCCTTAACTGTTCCATCAAACAGATTCTCAGTGCTGTGAATAACTTGCTATAAAGAATATTAACAATATGTTGACAGGATGTTTTTTCTTGCTTTAATGGGAGAGAATGACTCATTCATTTATGTCGGTTGCTGTCCTGGTCATGGTCTTAAAGCATTTCTTGCACCTGTACTACCAAGCAGTTTTGAAAGTACATTTTTTTCTAAAATTGTAGGAACCAATATAAAATATGTCTCATTAATAAAAATCATTCCAAATGGATTGTGACTTGTGATTGTACTTCAGTATCATTGGCACTGAAAGTTCTGTGAATGCAATGTTATGTTTCTATATTTATAAGCAATTTCCATTCTGTTCCGTAAAACCTGATGCTCCATAAGCAAGATCAAGTTGCCTAAATCTCTTCACGTGGTCAACAAACAGTGAATGTACTTTTATTCCACTCCATTTCCTTCTTTGATTCAGAATATTCACCCACACATAGAAACACATTTGTTTTCTTTGTTTAAACAATAGTCATTGTTTTCAATATGCCAAACTTTATATAACCTCATAGTTCCCAGGTTTTTCCAAAACAATAGCACCTTTAATAACTGCATCCACATTTAGTAGGTATAGGATTTACACTCTAGCCACTCCCTAGAGATGAATTTATTTACACTGCAAAGACATCAAGATCCATTTCCATAAAGAATGTTTATTTTATACAGATGAACAGAGAAATATCACATTAAAATAAGCATTCATTAATCAATTGCTAGAGCATGCAAAGATTCTCACACATTTTAGCTGAGTTTTGTCAGTCAACACGAAGTTTGTGGATGCCAGAGTCTTGCTCCATCCTTAAGACATGAAATCTTGTCACTGTTTCCATGCTTGGTCTTCAAAACACAACAAAAACTTAATGTGGCTTTTCTTTTCTCTCCTAATGCAGTATAAAGACTTCTGCTGCAAGCCATTCAGCTAAAAGCTTGAGAAGAAGTAACAGACTGTCCACACATTTGTGCTAGGCTTCTGAAGGTCTCTACTTGATTTGTTCTCTCCAAAGCAACAAAGGCTGACATAGCATGGGATATCTACCACATCAAACAGGGCAAGTAGAACTGTAAAATCCAGAACTTCATGTCCACATTGATGGGAAACTAAACGTGACTCAAAGTAAACCACTAATATCGTTAAAGTGAGAGAAGCAAAAAAAAAAATCAAGCTATTTTCAACTGATGTTTGACCCAAAGTAAATCAGTAACATTCTTTAAATGGGAGAGATAACTTCCCCATAAAATGAATTTCCCACAGATGTTTTAAGATGGACTGAAAACCACCCCTTTGCTACCTTGCCTTTTATTTATAACCCCCAACAAACATCAAATGCAAGAGAAATATTTCCTCCAGTGGTGGAAATAAGGCAAATCTGGTTTTACCAAACCAGGTGTTGGTATTAATTCTTTGGTATCCATAAATTTGAAACCTAATTATCATCTAAGAAAGAAAAGTATAAGATGCTGTTTTCAATATTTTTTTACTATTTTATAAGAGTTACAGAATTTAAAGCTCATTTGTTCAGCCAATTATTTGTACTTTTATCAATAAGATAAATTGCTTAGCTTGGAAATTAATTTTTTTTTACATAGAACATCCTCTAAATAAGTCTTGTATTAGGGAACAAGATGCTATTTTGATTCATCATAGCATTACTATAGATATTTGTCATGTAATACTATTATTTTGCTATAGATTTTCCTAAGAGTATTCTAATATATATTCATTCTATATTTAAAATATATATTTATACCAGAGCTGTATAAACAAAGTCATAGCTTAGTACTGTTTAAAAATTATAAATACTTCTATTTCATTTTTGAATACACACATATAGCACATAAATAACTTTATGTACAAGGAGTAAAGGAATTTAAGGAAAGGACATAACTTAAAAATGCTTAATGAAATCTAAGAAACACAAACAAAGCTGCATATCTTGCCATAATGCCGGAGGTAATATGTCTTCTTCCAAACAGAAGATTAAATCTGCTTTTTCAGTTTTCAAATTTCAGATGTGTTCACTTCATTATACAGTTATTTCACAAGTTGTCTTACTGACCTCAATAAAACACCAGAACTTTTTCTAGACTGAAGCCATAAATGTTCCTTATCTTCCAACAATTGAGTCTTCCAGCTGAATAATTTTTTCTACACAAAAAAGGGCAATGGTATGCATTGCAAGATATAATTTGGAAACCAGAAAAAGATATGGTAAATTATTTAGCTTTGTTCTTATGCACATCAATTCATAAGAAAATCTTATTGTATTGAAAAAATAATTACAGAACATTAACTTTAATGTTCCATGCATTTTAATCTGTTTGTTTTATTTATAGTGTATGGTAATAAGGAAACACATTAATACTAGATTTTAATTGCTGCTTGCAAAGCTAACCGCAGTTTCATGTCAAAAATCAAAACGCACAAAACTACGGGTAACCTATTTTTAGACTCAGTACAGTCAGTACTCAAAAATATTTATTTCAAGTATAGTAGTGAAAACAGTATTTGCATGGACTGTGCTGTTGGCATCCCCAAGGCTGCTTCCATTCATATCACTAGCAGCTAAAACCCACCAAAACGCTTAGTTGTGGTAACACTATGTGTGTTTCAAGATATGTAAAGCCTCTATCTGGGCAACAGTAAGATTTACTATTCCCTTCTTCTGGTATCTTTTTCCAATCTAGCCTGGCATTTCCTAGTGGTCTTCTATTCATGGACAAACCAGGTCCAACCCTGCTTTGCTTTTTGAGGTACCTGAATTCAAGATGGCAAACATACCTAATACACCTCCTTCCTCTTATTTTCCCCACAACAGCAACCCCGCAAGGCCTTCTTTCGTGCCTAAGGCGGGACTAAAACTCACAAACTTCTGCTTTCTAATCTGATGCTTAAACCACTGAACCAAACTGGCTCTCACAACTGGCTTAATTCTCACAAATGTGCAATACTTAAAGCATGGTAAAAGATACCCCACATCAATTCAATCAGCATGAGAGTTTGATCTAGTACACTGCATAATCATTTAGAGCCATTTCTAAAGGACCTGCATTCAGAAAGAACTGAAGCACAACAGACTTCCCCGAAGTCCGCGCACCTGATCTAACTGTGTTCTAGTTAGCATCTGTACCAGATGTGCTGGCTTTAACCTTAGCCTTCCTGGAAGGGCAACCTCTACCATTCCCAGCCATATTTTTTCAAAGCGTAAGGAGCCTGAAATGTAACACAGGGGACATCAGGCTAGGAAGGACTCTTCCGCACTTCCCACTCGAAAAGCATCAGATCAGCGCCTGGGAGTCGTCGGGTTACCCTTGGGCCCTTTCCCATTCCCTGCTTCCTGGAACCCAACATAGCGCGCGAGCGGTAAAAGTAGCAAGAGAGGCGTTCCATCGCCGAGGATCCGTTCCCCGATTGGCCAGACGAGCATCTACGTCACGACTTGACCCGGCCGCTGAGAAAAGGAAGTGACCCAGCTGGCTTGTGTAACAGCCGCCTTCGCGGGATATTTGGGGGAGGGGGACACATTATGCTGACACAGCGGCCCCTCCTGGTTCTCCCAAAGCACCAATGACTTGTTAGGAGAAAATGACCGTCTTACCCCTGCCCCTCGGCAGGGCTGCTCCGCTCGGAATTCTTCCTCTCGGTTGCCTGCAGCGAAGGCTGGCGCGGTGCCTCGGGGGACAGCAAAATGCGCCCTTTCCTGCGATGCACACTTATGGCCCCCACTCCTTCCGTGTCCGCCTTTCTCTTGCAGCACAAACATCAAGAAAAATTGGGCAAAAACTCTCCCCGCCCGGGACGCTTTTGGCAGCGCCTCCCAACAGGGCCTGATCCCGCCACGAGCCGGTCCAAAGTCCTGCAAGGGTGGGAACCGAGAAGGCCAATGTCTCCCCCGACCTGCACGCGTTTCCCTGCCCGAAAACGGAAAGCAAAGCAGAGGGCTGCTGGCTCACCTCGGTTTTCCGATTACCAGAGAGACTATCCGCCTGGCCAGCGGATGGCAAAGCAAGCGCCCTTTCCGCAACTCCAAGAGCTCGTCTCCGCTGGGGTTCAAGGAAAATTGCCAGGGGGGGAGGGAATCCCCGCTCGGCGAGAATCGTCTCGGTTGTGACATTCCGAGAGTTTTTCGCACTCCGAAAGCCCGTTTCTCCGCGCCCCGCCGACGCCGAGAAGAGAACCAAAAGGGACGCTGGGGTTGGGGTTTCTGCCACTGACATGTTTCGCCGCCGCGCCAGCCGCCCCCACCCCAGGTCCGTCCTCGACTGCGGAGCCTGAAAGAGAAACACGTCCTTCCCGTGCCTCTCTTCCCTGCAAATCCAAAAGTGAAATTAAAAGCCCGGCTTTCTCTTGTCAGTAGCTGCGCCTAACATCATATGACCCGCCACGGCCTTTGCATTTGGGTTAAAACGCGTCCAGCATATGCGTAAATGCAAAATCAGATGAAAGAAATGTGTACGGTTATTGGGTCTTGGTTTCTGATTGTAAAAAAAAAAGATTGCTCTGGATTTACCTTACCAATTATGTGTTTCCCGGTATTTATGTAATTCCTCAAGGTTGTCACGGTTGCCAAGAGACGCAAAATGGAAAGGAAAACCGGCGACGGAATAAATCGCGGGAGCAAAACTAAAAGTTATTCCTCCTCTGTATTTGGCGGGGATTAGTCCTGACGCCAGATCGAAAGCAAAACAAGGCGAGAAGGAGCGAGGAGTCCAATCTTGGAAATTCCTCCTCCTCCTCCCTTCCCTTCCTCCCCCCCCCCTCTCCTCCACCTCTCCGAGGCCTGTTTGTGCAGAAGGGAGGTGGGGGCTGGAGTGAAAGAGGTGCGGAAGTTGGGCGCAGCTGCTCATTGGCGGGCTCGGCCGCTTTCATCATTTCTCAGAAAAGCCGATTTCATTTTCACTTCCCTTCAGCAACAGCGACACCAGCACCGGGGAGGGGGCGGAAAGTGGAGGACAAAAGACAAATTTCCGTTCCTTGGCTAGGAAAGGCGGAGAGCTCGAAAGACCTCGGTCCTGCCGCCCCATTTTTAAAAAACCGGGCTGCTCTCTTCCAACCGCCAGAGCCTCGGTCTCTGGAGCCGCGGATGACATGGGAGCATCTTGCAGCATTTCCTTACACGGAGGAGGGACGTCGCCGGAGAAGCCCGAATCTACAGCTGCACGGACTCGGCGTTTGGCTGGAGAGAAACGATCTCGTTGGTGCATCGCTCAGGAAAGAGCTAGAAAATCATCCTGGGCCAGCACTACGCGATTGGGCTGGGGGTTTTTTTGTTGTTGTTTTGCTCGGAGACCAGTGGCTTCCTCACCTAGTGACTGGCCAAGAACATTTCCTGTAGTTCTCGTTTAAGGAAAAATTGCTTTCAATTTTTCTGTCAAAGGAGAAAGGCATTTCAGATAAATGTTCATGGAATAAGTGAGATGTTTTTGTTATTTAGAGGCCTTCTTGAAGGATCTGCATGAAGATCCTGGCTTTTAATTGCAAAGTTATTTCTCCAGAGGTCTTCAAGCCTCCCTGGCTTTACTTAAATCCTGAAGAAAGACGTCACTAAGGATTTTCTCCCTTGGAACTTTTTCAGTCTCAATTTTTCCATCATCACTAAAAAATAGTAATAATAATACATTCTTCTGAAACTTGTTGCAAATTGTTTGAGAATTTTTCTCTTCCCTTAATCAGTTTGGAGAAACACTTTGTTCAATTTTGATACACACCAATTTGAGTGAGAATTTTCAAAGGCCATTTCTGTGCACTGCCTTAGAAGCTCTTCCTCGAATGGGTGAGACCAATGTCTGCATCTTGGTGGTGTCATCATATTCAAAAATAGCCGGAAAAAATCTGGCTGTAGTTCAATTCCCACAAGCTTCAGGCTATTGGTTTGGCCAATATACCTCAGTAACAACCTAGTAGCCACTTCTGGTGAGGCAAATAACCAAGCCCTTAAGGACTGGCTATTCAGTAATTGCATTCACTTTTCCTTTAAAAAAAATAGAATAATCTTAATGGTTCACTGGGATTATGCATTAATTTAATTGTAGTATTAAAAAAATACAGTGTAAAGGAAATAATATTGTGTACATTATGCTACATATAGGTAGTCCTCAACTTATGATTGATCACTCAGTGACCAAAGTTAAATGGACCTATTTAAAATCTGGATTCAAAATTCTGATAGTCACATGACTGAATTTTGAGGGCTTTGCAACTGGGCTGCATTTACGCAGCATCCCATAATCATGTAACTACATTTTAGAATAATTTTGCTGTTTTTGGCACCCAACTATAGCAAACCATTGGTTTGCTTCATGATTGCAACATTGCTTAATTTCCCCTAAAAAGTCATAAAATCTGGTTGGTCATTTGATCAACCCATTTGATTTAAAATCTTGACCATCATGATTTAAAATTGTGATGGGCAGTTTCCATTATGGTCATAAGTCGAAGACTACTAGTGTAGTCGTAGTCTAGTTTTTAATCACATCATTAGATCTTGACACATAGAACAATGTTGCTTAGTCTTTCCACTGCAGAAATAGTTAATAAGTAGGAAGGGAACCCATGTCAATAATCAAAAAGTTTAAAAATGTTTTTTTTTGCCACCCCCTCTCCATTCTTATCTCCACTTATAATTATTCCATTATGAATAAACATTTTTGATATGTAACTAAAATACATTCATATCTTTAAACCTTACTGATCTTATAATACCATATTAACAAACTTAGAGATATTAAATTGAAATGGCAATTTAAAAAAAAAACCCGATGTCATTTGAGTAAATGTTCTCTCTTCTATTTTACACTTGCTACATAATGAGTTTAACAGCATACTGCTTTTAAAGTCCTCTGGGATATCCAGTAAAAGTGAAAACTAATGCTTGGCAGATTTGGTATCATTTTAAGATCACAAGGAATATACTCAATACTCCTACATATTTACCCATTGCTTTATTAATATTCAGTTCTTTAGTTTACAGTTCTACCAAATAATAAATTATTTATAGTTTTTGCATTTAGAAATAAGGTATCAATCAAAATACCAAGTTTGAGTTGCCAAAAATATTTTATGAAGTCAATACTAAATGCATATGATTTATCCTTTAAAGAATACTTAATCATAGGAATCTAAAAATACTAGTTCTCCAAAGTACATTGAGGACTCTCTGAAGCCTTACCATACATGCAATAAATGTAAGTCACTTTTTTCAGTGCTGTTGCACCTTCAAATGGTCACTAAGTGAACTGTTGTAAGTTGAGGATTACCTGTAATCTCTTCCCCTCTTTAAAATAAATGTCTATATGGTAGACATGTATCTGGTTGAGCTGAACCATATACATGTTACCATAAACTAATATTACATTTGGAAAAACATGGATTGTTGGTAGTGATCTCTAACCAGAGTATGAGAAGCTAGTAAAATGCTATAACTGTAGATGCTGAGTCTAGAAATTAATCTGATTAATTGTTTACCAAAGACCCTATTTTAATCATGACATCTGTGAACAGTTACTTGAAATGAAGCTTCCCCCGGATGTTTATATACCTACCATAGGAAATGTTCTTTGTATAGAGGTCAAATGTTTCATCTCTTTAAAATCTCAACAATTATTTGGAAAAACAGCGTTGCTCCGTACAAGAGAAGGAAACCAAGATTCTAGTTTTCACCTTCCACCATAGAGAAGCCCATTGGGTACTTTGGACAAATTTCCCTCCCTCAGCTTAATCTGCCTCACAAGATTGTTGCTGTGGAGAAAATAGTAGAAGCAAATGTAATATGTCCATGACCCTTGAAGGCAGTATATAAATATTATAAATAAACTATTAAAAATACAAGACTTTAACTGATTAATTAAATCAGATTTTTAAGGCTCTTTCAGAAAAGCTTGAAGGGCAGGGAAGACATAGCTGTTTTAATAAACCACAGAGAATGGTTGTGTTTGTCAAAGTCTGAAGCAATTCTTCACAATAATTTTCAAAATACATTCAGTTAAAATTTGTAATTAAAGTTATATACTGTTTATTTCAAAAAGATTTCCACTATGTTCAGCAGGGCTGACTTCAAGTACAAAGTATAATTACTTTAGTCAGGGCTTTTTTTCTCATAGAACGCCCAGAACGGAGTTCCGGCACCTTTTTTGGATGGAATCTTGTAGGGTAGGCAAGGCGGGTTGTATGATGTGTGGGAGTTCCGGCACCTTTTTTTTTTTTTTTTTTTTTAGAAAAAAAGCACTGACTTTAGTTCATCTAAGTAAATGTGTTGCTATTTGCAAAATATAATTTTAGAACAAGGATCTATGTGTTAACATGTTTCATGTAATATATTGCAGCCAGCAAAATATAACTCATGTCATCTCATTTCATTTTTCATAAGGTCTTAAAATTGATCCATTCTAGGGCAGGGGTATCAAACTGCCAGCCCGCGGGCTGGACGCGTCATGATGAAACCGCGCCCACCCCATTGCTGGCAATGGGGAAAAAGTTCCAATACATCACGCGACGTCATGTGATGTCACGAGTTTGACATGTCTGTTCTAGGGAATTGAATTTAATACTTTATTTCGCCAAATGTGATTAGACACATAGGGAATTTGTCTCCGGTACAGAAGCACTCAATGCACATGAAAGCAACATAATAATAACAAGAGCAACAACAATAAAATGGGGGGGGGGTTTTAAAGAAGATAATAAGGATAACTAATAATACTACAGTCACACTATATATGGGTTAATAGACATTAGGCAGCATTGAGAGAATTAGGTGTGGCACAAAGGAAAAAACTGTCCCTGAGTCTAGTTGTTTTGGTACACAATGCCCTAAAACGCCATCCTGAGGGAAGGAATGGAAACAGTTTATGTCCAGGGACCTCCTTCTGACCCACCTAAAATACAGGTCTTCTATGGAAGGCAAGCTAGTTGCAATTGTTATTTCTGCAGTCCTAACTATTCGCTGGAGTCTGTACCTATCCTGTTTGGTTGCTGCATCAAGCCAGACAGTTATAGAAGTACAAATGAGAAGTACATAATTCCTCGGCAAAATTGTATCAACAGCTCCTGGGTCAGTCTGAACTTCCTGAGATGATGTAGGAAGAACATTCTTTGTTGTGCCTTTTAAATGATGGTTCTAATATTGAGTGTCCATTTCAACTCCTGGGAGATTATAAAACTCAAAAACGTGAAAGACTCTACTGCTGATACCATGTTGTTGAAAATAATTAGAGGTGGTAAAATAGAAAGGCTCCTCTTAAAATCCATCCTCATCTTTACAGTTTTAAGCATGTTCAGCTCCAGATTGTTACAGCTGCACCACAGGGCCAGTTGCTCAACCTCCTGTCTTTACTCAGGCACAAAATAAGACTCAATGAGCTTTATTTTGTGCCATAGAAAGCAGCTGCAATTTTATAAATACGATAGCTTTCCAACTATACAATGGTAAGCATAATGAGCTATTATGTCTTTGTATACAAGTTTCTTCATCGTCATATTTTTCTCTGCATATTAGTTTCATTTTAAAATGTTTCAGATTGTTTTATTTGCCTTGAATTTGAGGAATAAGACAAACTTACATTCATACATATACATTGCACAACTAATGGCCCACTCATAATCCACCACCAGTTGTAATATATTATTATGTCTGTCTTTTATCTTTATGTTTATTATTATTGTTTTTAATGCTGTAATGCTGGTCTGAGACCATAATAAAAATTGATTGATACATTGCCCAACATTATTTACAACTTTCAACATTATTTACAACTTTGTGAGTTCTCCAGATGATTGTTTCTCATCATATTTCTCCCTTTTTTTCTTAGAAAAAAAAAGATTTCTGTTGCTCTGATCACAATTGCTGAAAATTGATGGCACAGCTTCCTGTTGTGTGAAACACATGAAAACTAGTGGAACTAGTGTGAAATATTGTGTTATCTCATTTAGTCAGTGGAGCAATTGATTAACAAATAATTAAAATTTAGTTTAATAATATTATATGTATAGAAATGATAGGATACAAGCTGTTTCCATTGAGAAGGATGAAAGTCAATGGACTTTTACAAGGATCTCTTCTCCATGTACACTGGAGGTATTCACATAGTATAATGAAAAAAGTCAAGATAGCGGCTGCAATGTACAATCAAACCTATGTATACACAACACATGAAAAAAACAGCCACTTTCTTAACTTTTTTGACTATAGGCTGAAGATACTTCTTTCTTTTTACTTAGCCTAAAGGTAAAGGTTTTCCCTGTCCAGTCATGTCTGACTCTAGGGGATGATACTCTTCTCCATTTGTTAGCTGAGGGAGTCAGCATTGTCTAAAGACATTTCTGTGGTCATGTGACCAGCATGACTATATGCCGAGGCACACGTAATTTAGCCTAGCTGTTACATCTCCCTCACCTTCCAGGTTCACTTAGCTTTTTGCTCGCTTCTTTATAAGGGAAGGTTCAGGCAATCACTTGTTTTAGGGCTGGGATGTCAAACTGGCAGCCTGCGGGCTGGATGCGTCACATGCAGACCACGCCCACCCCGGCTCTGCAAAGGCAAAAAATGTCATGATATGTCACAATACGTCATGTGACATGATTGAGTTTGACACCCGTGTTTTAGGAGAATGCAAGTAATCTTCCATTTCCTCTAAGTGACTTTCACTCATTCTCTTTCAGCCAACTTTCCCTCTAGATTATTGATATGGGACTAAAATGAAGGAAGACTGTGTGCTACCTTGTGCTCTCAAGAGAACAGTTGAATTATCAAAAATCTTAAATGCAGCCCATGATTATCAAAGCAGTTGCTTCTGGGACAGATGAACAATCTTTGGAGACAATCTATAGCATCATTCTGTGAAATGACAGCTATGAGAGTCTTGCTGATTCATAAATAAAAGAATGTTTTGTGTGGAATTCAGAGTATTTCCTTATGTACAGATAAATCCCCAGAAAATTATTTCTCTTGTGGCAGAACAGAAAAAAAGCAGAAATCCACATGGCAACACAGGCTTATGAGATCAGCCATAAGCTCTAGATACTCATGTAAACCAGCTTAGTCCTCCCGTCTGTGTGGAACTAAAGTATAACACTGGAGTTAAGACACAACACATCACTGTAAATTTCTATTTGATATATGTAACTGAGGCTTTCCTATTACATCCTTCTGTTTATAAGTTCTGGAAAAAAAAATTCTAGCTTTAATTATCAGGGTTTTTAAATTCTTTTTTCATTCTTTATGGTGAGATGGAAATACTTTGCTATTTAAAAAAATGAAAACAAACCAATGAAGGAGCAGTTGGAGCTCCTCTACCAGAAAGAAAATTGCATAAAAATTATTATATATCTTCCTCCTCAGCCATATATCAAAGGGAGAAGTTGATGTGATGTTTAAAAATGTATACTATATATGCTTTGTATACATTCACATGGTTTTAAATTACATTTAGCTCAATGGTTTCTGATCTTATGTGAAAAAGCTGTTCCAAATTAATTTCAAATGTTCCACAGATGGATAGTGCCAGTTCAAAATCTGCTTGTGGTATTTGCAAGCTCATAATATTGGTAACTCAATATCTTGAATAGTTTTCTACTCAACTACATGTAATAGACATTTCTTTTGTTTATTTGTAATTAATTTTCTCACTGAAGAGAAAAATTTCCACTAAAGAATACTCACCTCCTCCATGTCATTTAAGGGGAATGAAAATGGCATTTTCTTTTGTTTATTTGTAATTAATTTAGACATTTCTTTTGTTTATTTGTAATTAATTTTCTCACTGAAGAGAAAAATTTCCACTAAAGAATACTCACCTCCTCCATGTCATTTAGTAGGGATGAAAATGGCAAGATTTCTGTTTCTTTTCTGAAAGTGATGATCACGTATGTGAAGTGGGACTTTTAATTTTTTTCCTCTCTAATGGTGTGAGAAGGGTTTTGGTTATTGTACTGCACAGGTGTCAAACTTGCGACATCACGTGACGTGTCGTGACATATCGTGACTTTTTCCCCATTGCCAGCAATGAGGTGGGTGCGGTTTTGGCGTGATGCATCCAGCCCGTGGGCTGGCAGTTTGACACCCGTTCTACTGGAATGGATAAAACAGATGAGCCATTATAATAAATTCTAATTCCCCCATGTAAAACATCATTTTGTTTAGAATTTATCTCTATTTTAGGCTACAAGTCTGGTAAAGAAGCACTGGAAAAAGTATCTTGTTGATGACACTGTATTTTTCCTGATACGTTGCATGAAGTCAATTCAAAATGTTAATAGTTTAAGACTTATTTAAAGTTCAACTTTCTTACAAGAAAGATAACTAAATATCTATCTTCTATCACAGTTTTTTCACTGTCAAAGGTTGATGGAGGAGCTCTTCTTGATGATCCATCTAAGGAAGTACCATGAGCTACAGTAAGTAATGTTTGGGTTTCAATCTCCATCAAAACCAATAGCAAGGAACTACGGTATTTTTAGTCTTAAATACTTTTAGGACATCTACAGCAGGACTATTAACAATTAATGCAGAATTAATTTTTCCCCCAAGAGGGGTGACACTTCATGCATTCTTTGAAGAAGAAGCTGTACCATAAGAAATAATAAAGGATTCTGCAACAATCTCAGGGAAGTATATAAAACCATACGTTCTAGTTATGGTAGATAAATTAGGATCCTTCTAGCAGTTTATGCATATTTTCCATGGAAATTAAATTTTAACAGAAACAGACCAGTTATTGGGAACTTTGTATAACAGGGATAGAGTTTACATTTAAGATTACTTTATACAGGATTTCCACCCTTCCTTCACAATATTTTTATTTAGTTTGGTTTACTTTCTTATCTCTAGTGACACCCTGTGGATACAGAGGACACCTCAGTTACATGGATGAGATTAATAAGTGATCCTTTATACTAGCTATGATGTTGGCACATAAGAATGTCAGTACAAATAGTCCTCAACTCACAACTATTCATTTAGTGACTGTTTGAAGTTATAAAAGCACTGAAAAAAGTGACATAATTTTTCACACAACCATTGCAGCATCCCCATGGTCACATGATCAAAATTTGAATGCTTGGCAATTCATATTTATGACAGTTGCAGTGTCCCAGGGTCGTGTGATCACTCTGTGCAACCTGACAAGCAAAATCAATGAGGAAGCTAGATTCAATTAATGTTACTAATGCAGTGATTCACTTAACTGTGGCACAAAAAGTTGTAAAATGGAGCAACGTTCACCTAACAACGGTCTCATGTAGCAACAGAAATCTGGCACCCAGTTGTGATTGTAAGTTGAGGATGTAAAGTATATAAAGTATTTAAAGAGTTCTACCTTGCTTTGTGAAGTAAAAAAGGGGAAACACTCCCCCCTCAACCTTTGTAATTTATTGTACTATCAACACAAAATCAAGCATTGGGGCCAGGAGGGCTGTGATATAAATTTCGGTTCCTGATTCCTATTAATTTCTGTTGTTTATAACCTTATTGGTTGTTTCTTTACTTTGATGTTTAATGTACACAATCCTGAATCATAGATGTTCAAGTTGGGAGGTCATATTAATTTATCAAGCACACTAAGCTTTGTGTCATTGTTTGCATATAATAAAATAACCTTCCACAACAACCATGCAAAGGCATAATTGTACATTAAGATGATTATACTGCCTGGATACCGGTTGATACTGTGTTTCCCTGAAAATAAGACCCACCCAGAAAATAAGCCGTAGCCTGATTTTTTTACGTTACGCCTAATACAAGCCCTACCCCAAAATAAGCCTGGGAGGGTGGGCATGGCCCGCACAGGAGGCGGCAAGCACATGGGGGCTAACGGTGTCTGGCAACAGCTGCACCCCGCGCAGCACAAGTCTGAGCACGGAGGCAGATGCGGGGGGAGGCAGGCGATCTGGATGTACAGTGCGGCCACCTGGCTCACGGGAAGCTCACATAGTGGCACTGGCAGCAGGCAGAAGCAGAGGTATGGGGGGAGGCAGGTAATCCCAGTGCACTGCCCACTCCATCCCACCATCTCTTGGCTTGCCCATGGCTGTGCCGGGGCAGGCGGCTGCGCTGTGCATCGGGATTGCCTGCCTTCCCGTGCCTTGCTTCCACACTCTGACTTACCTGCGCTGCACCAAGGGGCCAGCGGGCTGCGGTAGGACACCATCACCCCCCACACACTCGCTGCCTCTTGTGCACACGCTGGGAGTGGGGTGCCTGGCTGGGCTGATCACCCTGATACCGTTTTCCCCCCAAAATAAGCCCTAATGCATCTTTTTTTTTTTAAATAATTTTTATTATTTAAACCAACAAAACAAAACAAAACATAACACACATATATACACAGTATATATTCCTCCCTTTTTTAACAGCGATTTCGTAACAGTAATCTTCTATTATTTACATTTCCCCCCCTTATTCTTCTTTAGAATATTTGTCCTTGTTGCCCCATTATTTCTTATTTGCATTTTTCTTCCTTCATACATTATTATACACACATTTTCCACTTTTAACCTTTCCATCTAATGCATCTTTTGGTGCAAAAAAAATAATATAAGACTTGGGAAACACAGTATCCGTATGTTTCTACTGTTAAAAACAGACAGTCACTCAGTTGATTAAAACAATGAATATGATTTATTAAATTGTCATATGAAAATTCAAAGTCACAAATGTAATTATTTAATAAATTAGACATTTCTTGAAATGGGGATAACTTTCTGATATTACTTTTGTATAAGATGGAGAAATCTTTTTAAAGTTTAATATCTGCATGCTTATTCTACAACTAATTTATTTAGCAATAAACTGAGTATATGCAACTTATCAAGCAAATATACCATGGCTTACTACTGAAGTATCAACCTACTGGTCAGCAAGCACTGTAAGGGTGGATATTTCTTAAATTCTAGGATCCCTGTTACTTAAGATCTTCCTTTCTGTCAAGCACATAGCAGTTGCTGTAGTATTCTTGATCTCTTACCTGTCCCACCCACTTGCATTTTTTGTAATTGATAAGAGTCAATTGTTTTTTATGGTGGTATTGGTAACCAAAACAAAGACCAGAAGAGTAAACTCAATTGTCCTGATAAAAATGTACATCCTGTGCATCCTTTTCTTTCAATACATTATCAGGAGAGGTAGAAGCTTTGTTTTGCATGTATTTATAAGTATGTTTTTATGTTATTTATTTTTATCCCACTTTTATTATTTTTATAAATAATTCAAGGCAGCAAGTATACCTAATATTCCTTCCTACTTTTCTCACAACAAACTTGCAAGGTGGGTTGGGCTTAGAGTGATTAGCCCAAGGTCACCCAGATGGTGTGCTCTCAGAATTCTAGCCTATCACTCTGAAAAATCCTAGATCACTGGATCACTGGAATGGAGGCAACAGATGTCCTGGTCTTTAAAACGGAAAAAAATGGAAAGTCTTTAACAAATCTTTAACCAGGACAAAATTAAGTTTATAAGAAAAAAAAGAGACATGCATTGTAGATGCTCAAAGTCTGAATTTCATAGGAAATGTATACTTAAGTTTTAGAAGCCCCTCTCTTTTATTCTATTTTAAAATTATTCATATTTCTACAAACTACACATTCAAAATTAGAAATGAGAACTCACACTTTTGCATGCCTTTTAGAATATGGAAAGTGTATATGCTACAAGTGAAAAACCACACACTACTGCATTACAAACTGAAATCCAGGATCCCATTCTGACTCAAGTTCTAAGCACCTTTTGTCATCTTTTAAGCTTAAGTCCATTTAAAGGTATTGCTGGTATTCTAAAAGAGCAAAATGCTCTGAGTAAAATCTAAAAGTCTGCCACTGAGCATTTTGCATTCAATAGCAAACGCACAAAGAGACAGCTATAAGGAATTTGATTCTACTTTCAATAGATTAGTCCTACTTATATTTTAGTCTTTACACCATTTTGGAAAACTTCTGTTGCGTAATGATATTACAATCCAGTCTTAAATACTCTGATTGGCAAGAAGTTCCAACTAATACCGATATAAAGTATTTGGATGTATGTTTATTTACAAATAGACTGTAACATTGTCACCAAAATTAACCATTTATTCTGAAAATGGTACTTTTTATCTGCAAATTATTTTGTCAACCAACAGTTACTGAATCTTTCATAATTTTTATTGAAAATTACTCCAAGTCAAATGGATTTTTTTTCATTTTCTAAATCATAATTTCTCTATCACTAAATCTGCAAAATTCTGTACTATTGTTCTACTGACTGAAATAGTTACCTTTATAAATCTTAATGCCACCAGGGCACCAGGAAATAAGCATAGCTCAGAATAAAACAAATTCTGCCATATCCCTTTTTTTAGCTTCTTTATCAGAAGATAAAGAACTCTTCAGAATGGAAAATAAAAATCTTTTGTTAGCATAGACACAATACACGGGATCTGCTTCTTTCCATGAAAGTCAGGTCTGTTTGAATAGGAACTGAATTCTGCAACTTTGCGATTTACACGTGTTAGGATCTGCATAAGTTCAAGTTTCTTAGCATATTGTTTCAACATCACACACAATGACTGTATAAACCAGGAACCTTCTAAGGAATTCCTCCATGAATAGTAGCCTAAGAGAAAGTAAAAATAAATTGTATTGTTCAAGCAATAATTATAAAAGCCAGCCATAGAATTTGTTCTCCACAATGTTACGCAATTATTAAACCAGCAGCATAGAATCCAATGAGACCATCTAAAGCAGTATTCTGGTATTTAAAGCATTTGATCACATTTTACCCAAAATTATTTAGTTGACATACCTCATTTTCCCCTTCCTCCCACCAACTCTTCAAAGTATGTTTTCTTAAGGAAAATGGAAGGATGAAAGAAATAATCTCTATTTATTTCCAAAGACTTCAATAGAGGTAATTGTTCCATTGATCAGAAAAATCAATGATCACGAAATTATTCACAGAATGATGTCTTTCCCTGTTGTATCCTGACATGAAGCTTGAAACAGAAATTGATCTGAGAAGCCTTCCAAAAAATATCTTGAAAGACAAAAGACTGGACAGAATGAGGAAAAATGCTTTCCAACAAAATAGACTGAACACTAAAATGTGTCCTTTAATTCCTCTTGCAGACACAATACATACAGTGTTGGTTCTACCAACCAGTATAAGGCAAGATAATTGGTCTTGATGGTGAGAATCCTCTTTATGTATTGGTCAGAAGTGATGTACATATTATCCATATCAATAATGCTAATTTCTTCTTACAAAGGAATAAAAATATGTTCCTTTCCTGTCTATTGAGATGAAATCTGACAAAGGCAACATGCATCCTGAGTAGATTGTGTGGATTGTAGATCAGCAGGGAAGATCACCAGAGGAAGTGTCAGAATAGGAAGCCATATTATATTATATAATTAAGCTCTGGCAAAGCTGGAGAATATTGCATTTGTGAAAATGAGAAAACACTTGAATTATACAAGTTAGGATATTGAAGAGGACTGAGCTTAATAGATCTATTCAAGATAAGGTTATAAATCTAATGAAATTTACCAAAAGTTGCATTTTCCATTAATTTATCTTACCCGGTGCAGTAGAATAAGCATACAGGAAGTCTGCCTCTACAGGTATTTTCTGACACATTCTTTCATCTGAGCCGCTGTCTGTTTCAACTCCAGAATCAAGATCTGTTCCTCTACAAGCCTACCCAATACAAAACAGGAAAATATCATAAATATTACTAACATTCTTCACTAACACTGATGGGATATAAATGAGTACATACAGAGTAGAGGTGAGCAGTATTCCGATTCAAAGCAGAAAAATTATTTTGGATCCAGCATGGATGCATTTGCTGTATCTCACAGCAGCATCTTAAAGAAGCCAAGTCTTCTCCTGGTCTCACAAGGCAGCTCCCTGGGTCCAGACAAGTACCATGCAAGACCAGGAAAAGACATGGCTTAAAACCATATGAGCGGAGACTGTGCCCCTGTGGGCAAGGGACCATTGAAACTATAGCATACGTCCCGCTATACTGCATCTTATATAAGGACTCAAAGACTCAATTTATAACACATTATCTAATAAAATATCCGGGAAATACTGATCTTTTTTTACATGCCAGATCAATATGAAGTAATTTCTCTGAATGTGGTTAATTCTGCTATGCTATATGTAAAATCAGGCAATATATTATTATGTCTGTCTTTTATTTTTATTTTTTACTATTATTATGCTTTAATGCTTTTATTTGCTGGTCTATGACCATAATAAAGATTGATTGACTGACATGGCTTAAAATGTTGTTGACAAATACAACGAGCCATATCCACATCATCTTTGAATATAACAGTATCCCTAAAACAGAGAGAATAAGTGCACTTTTATATACAAAAGGCACATAAACTGTAATATGCAAAACTTAAGTTCTATATTAAATTTGGAAGTTTTATCATTACTCTCCAAATCATATTAAAATTTTACACCATCTTTAGAGTGCCCTGCTGCAATGGATAGATGAAATCATGTGCATGATTTCGATTTGGGTCAAGCGAAGTTTAATTATTTTAATTTCTAAAGGAGAATATATGAAAACTTCTAGTTATTTTAAGGATTATGAATTAGATTGCTTTACTCTGAAAATAAGTCCACTAAAAGAAAATAATGCATTTGGCTTAATTTCTTAAAGAAAGGACGTAACTCTTTTGGGAGGGACTGATAGACCTGTAAATTCTTGTGTAAACACACATGAATAAGGGGTCCTTGGTGCTCTCTGAGTTTGGTTGTTTCCTTGCAGACGTTTCATTACCTAAACCAAGTAACATCTTCAGTGCTAATGACTAGAACTGATGATGTTACCTAGTTTGGGCAATGAAACATCTGCAGGAAAACAAACAAGCTCAGAGAGCATCAAGGCCCCCTGGTTTAAATCCTGAGCTACAAATATTTTATTGTATTGATATATAAGAATAATTTGTATTACTATACTACACAAGGATAATTACAACATCTAAGAGGGTTCAGTGCTTCCCTACAGATGCCAAAAGGATTCCACTTCATTACTATTCCCAATTCAATGTGTATGTTGGGGGGATGGGCAACAATCTGGTGCTTTGAGGAAGTCTTTTATTGAAGGATTTCTGTCTTTCTACTTTGTGTTTCTTATTACCTGGATAAAAAAGAGCTTTGGCTTCCCTCGTAGGGTCTTACACCTGTCTCCTCTGAAGAGGTTGGTTAACATTTTCAGTTCTAGAGGGCCATCCGTGCCATAAATCAATCCATCGTCCCCATGGCTTAGCAAGACACAAACAAAACTATTTCTCTTTCTATGATCGTCCTTGGCAACTTAAAGAGAAGATAATGTTTACATTGTGATCAGAAATTCCTAAATAACAATTTTCTTCAAATTAACCAAGAAAATTATATTTGTTAAAAAAATAAGACTTTTGAATGTTAAGATATAGTTGGTCTGTAGAAGCAGAGAAACATTGCTTTTTGCACTCCCAAAAACAATCTATAATTTTGCTATCTTCATCAGGATAGTCATAGTCAAGTACTTTCTTATTTTAAGTATTCACATAACTTTCAAGATGTAGTACTGGTAGTTCTCGGTTTATGACCATTTTTAGCGACTGTTCATAGTTACAATGATGCTGAAAAAAGTTATTTACAACTGGCCCTCACGCTTAAGACCATAGCAGTCAGTGTCCCTATGATTACATGATCAAAATTTGGGTACTTGGTAACTGGTATGTATTTATAATAGTTGCTGTGTCCCAGGATCACCATTTGCAACTTTCTCACTCCAACAAGCAAAGTCATTGTGGGAAGCAAGATTTGCTTAACAACCCTGTGATTCACTTAATAACCATGGTGATTTGCTTAATGACTGCAGCAAAAGCAAAATAAATAAATAAATAAATAAATAAATAAGGCATGACTCATTTAACAACTGCCTTGCTTAGTGATGAAAGCTCTGATTCCAACTGTGGTCGTAAGTCAAGGACTACCTGTACATAATTTGACTCTAGTCTATAGCAATAAAATGTTCTACATTAAACATTATTTTATTAAAAACAAAAATGATGAGAATTGAATGAAACAAAACACCTTTGGATACAGCAAATTTTATTCTGAAATGTAGATCTGATTGGATTTAATAATACCAAGAGTCTTCAAAAATCTGTACTTTCTTACTGATATGCCATACAATTCCTTTAATTCAAGGCATAGACTTTTATGTTTCAATAAGAACAGATAGCTCCAAACTTAAAACATTAGCTCATTCTGTAATATACTTCAGTACAACTGATGATACATCATAAAGTGACTACTCACTGTTTTGCAACACATCAATAATTTGTTTACATGAAAGATCATTATAAGTTTTCACATTATATCCCAATGTTCTGAAAGTGTCTAAAACAAGCGCTGCGTCTGCATCTGTACCAGATCGAAGTGTCATTCCTTCATATTAAAAAAGAGAGGGAAAAGTCATAAGACATCTTGCATTTTGAAAACACTATAATGCAGCAAGACTGTGTATATTACAGGCAGCATCTGCCCAGCTATGTATAAAATGTGAAATAACAGTTATACATGTGACATCAGACAGATGTCACATCATACAAGGCCATGAAGGTATTTACAGTTGAGTATCCTGGCAAGGCAGAATTTCCAGTTATATTTACTCTTTAAGCCATTGAGAGTTGTGGATTTTAGGTGAGTGGCCAAACAAACGAACAAACCTCTTCAGAACAGTCTTTTTAGAATTTCATGGTGAGTAGACAATGATCTAACAGGCAGCTGAGTCCTTTGGGACACTGGAAGGAGAGGAGGGTTCACTTAACGGGCCTTTATTTCCACAATCTAGGAATGCTGTATCTGTATGTAATGCCCTTCCATAGTTTTCTTTTAGAAATGGCTAGCGTGTCTGAACTCGTGGAAGTGGGGCAGATGTAAATAACAGACACGGGGTGTAGCTGTGACATCCTACAGACTTTGAACTTTCATGTATTCTGAAGAATGGCTGCAGAATAGATTATGAGAAACTTTATTTAAATGCCAAGCAAGTTGTCGAAGGAATTAGACTTCACTTCATTGCAGTGTTATTTCTATCCCTTTGTACTCAGGGAATTATTTCTCTTTTAAAAGACAACAAGAGGTTCTTCCTTAATGATGTATATATATATGGCTGTACATGACTGTAATTTACCGATTCTAAATCTGCAACCTTTGTTACTAAGAGAAATGAAGCTGGCTTGATCTTCTCTTCTGCTTTCCTACCCTTTAGCCTCTTCTTTACCATTTGACGTTTCTGTATCCATAACTTAAATGTTCCTAGAGATGAACTGGGATATTGGAAATTTGCTCAAGACATTCCACTGACCATGAATATTCCTTTTTTGGATCACTGGGAGGGCATATTGGGTGTCTTTAAAGCTGTGATCAGAAGTGCATGCTTAACCATACAACATAGGTTGATGGCCTTTGGAAATATAACTCCAAAGATTGACACTGTAGAGAGAATGCAGGTTCTAGGAAATATATTCAAAGAAAAGCATTTGACTGTTCCAAGTAAATTACCTGCTTATATTTTAATTTTAATAAATAACATATTTACCAGTATCTGGAAGGAAATGTTTATTGTTGACTAGAATGCATATCCCCATTTCTGGACAGTCCATTCTATAACTTTCATCTGCTTGTATCACAGAATCAACAGATTTGCTAAAAGGAATGCTTTTCCTATGATGAAATAAAACAATGTAAAGCTAATGTTGTCATTCAAGTTATAAATTGAAGATTACGGTGTTTGATTCCATGCATTTTGTATGCACTGAGAAATATAACAATGTTAAGATAAAGGGTTTCTGGCAAAAAAAATACTAGTTATACAAATGATAAGGAATCAGATCTGAAGAATGAGTGAAATAATTACGCATCTCAAAGCTATTTAATGCAAAAAAATTGAGTTAATTTTTGATACATAAAATCAGAATAATGTACGAGATGATATTACTGAAAAAAAATGAGATGTGGAGATTGTGACAATGTACACAATAGGGCTGTGTGCATCCCAATGATTTAGAAGATGTGATTTGGACCCAGTACAAAAACACACCTCTTTGTTATTCATTAAACAGTCTAACTTTTTCTAGCTTTCATGAAAGTTGAAAAAATGTTTGTTTGCTTTAAGAACTGACTTGTTAAAGGAACAGAATCTTTTTTAATGCTTATGTGAAAATCTAAGTGAAAGACAGTGTGCTTTAATGAATAAAAAAGAGATGTTGTATTTACACAAAGTCCCAAAACCTTCTTCTGATAAGTGTGTACCCAAGCTCAAGGAAATATAGTGAACTTTTAGTTATAAAGATACTGAACTAAGCTAGGATTAATTTGTAATTATCTGGCTGCTTATTGTTTAATATATTCTCTTATTTATTTACAAACTGGCACTTCCCAAAGTACCCAAATTTTCATGCAGAATGTAAAGTAAGAGTGCTGCTACAATCCTCATAGCTTTATTTCTCTTTGCTTTTGCTATAGAGCAGTGGTGGCGAACCTATGGCACGGGTGCCAGAGGCGGCACTCAGAGCCCTCTCTGTGGGCACGCGTGCCATCGCCCCAATCCTAGGCCTTCAGCTGGGTTTTATAAAACCTTTTCGTTTTAGGCATCCGCCACTGTGTACAAAAAAAAAAAAGTTCAATCAGTCAATTTCAACTTCTCGTGGGAAAAAAAAAAAGATCTTGCAAAGTTGGGATTGATTGACTGAACGTTTTAGTCCCACCCAGTCTGCCGTTACCACCACACCCACGCCCACCCAATGGGCCACACCCAGCCAATGGGCCACACCCACCCAGTACCTGACGATGCATAAGTGGGTTTTGGGCTGCAGTTTGGGCACTCGGTTTCTAAAAGGTTCGCCATCACTGCTATAGAGTAATGAGTGGTAGGAAATGCCAAATGAAACATCCGCTACTGATTGACATACTCTTAGTTGATGCCAGGCTCATTGTAGGAACTGGATGCAATGTGAGTAACTATTACTTTTGGCTTAAATAGGTCAGTGATATTTCCCATAAACCAATTATTTAACTAGAAAAATAATTGTAAGCAAACACACACAAACACACATGACCCAAGAGACACCCCCAAGAAACCCTGCTTACCCTTCAGAACCAGATAAAGTCTTTGCATCTGTTACACTTTGTGGTGATTTCAGGACATGGTTTTCGTCTGCCATAGTTATTTCTGTTTGTAAATAAAAGAAAAATATAATTTTAATTGTATAATTAAATAGTGAGCACCTTTTGCTTCCTTGCCCCTTAAAATGTAAAATAGATACCCAACTAGGTTTGCCTTTTGTAAGGAATTGAAGACCTGTTTCTTCCTCTATGCCTTTGGAACAGGATGCTATTCTGGATGGTTAATAGTTTCTCCTCTGGCATCCAGGTGGAGGAGTGTTGGGGGAGGTTCTCTGTTTTTAATCTGGTAAACCAGATTAAAGTCACTTGTGTGAGATGGGTAGTTATATACATGAATAATAAACCATACTCTAACAAACCATTGCAAACAGTATGTGATTTAGCAACATGTGACTTTGTATTGTAAATTCTTGCACATATGCACTTAGAGTTACTTAGCAACAGTGGTGGGATTCAGCAGAACTTCGGCAGAACCAGTAGCTAATTTTTTGTTGCCCAGGCCCAGAATGGACTTCCAAAGGCAGCATCCACACAGCATCACATATTTGAATCCCACCACTGCTTAGCAAGCTTTGTGGATTGCATCCTTGCCTTGTTAATCCGTTTTGAGAAACAAGGTCAACAGTTACATCTATTGACCTATGATAGATCAGTACTTGAAGGGGTCTCAGGATGCTATTTCCCTTCTCTTCAATTGGACTGCCCTACCTTTACATGCTAGATACCCTACAGCAGGAATCTATGCAAACACTTTCTGAGGTCCCAACATTGGATTCCTGACAGCAAGCATAAGAGTGTGACATTTAAAAGAGGTTCTCCTTCCCCTGTGGGTCTGTTCAAGGCAGAACAGTGATGGAGCACATGGACACTGTCAAGGATGGAAAGCTATGAGGATGTGAACTGATGTATCTTTTTTCCTGTGACTCTCTTAATATTTACTCCAGATATCTTGGGGTCATTTCATCCTTATTTGAGCCTATTGTCTCTGAATCCTAAAAAAACCTATTGGCTACTAGCTAGCTATCATATCCATGCCAATAATTAAATGAATGATTCCCTTCAATAATTCTCAAAGAAAATACTATCTACTGTAGTTACTAGTGACTTAGCTGATTATTCTGAAGAAATGTTTATCTAGCTACAAAATTGAGGGTTCAATTTTTGTAAAGTCCAGAACACACAAAAACGTATAGATTTAATTAGGGGAAATTCAGTTAATACACAGAAACCAAGATACTTATAAGAAAACTCAAAGAATACAAAGAACATTACCTGCATGAGTTAAATGAATATTGCTTAAAAAATAACTAAATTTCACTTGAAAAACAATATTTTCTAAAAGCAAATTGGCCATACATTTTCCTAGGAAAAAGAACTACTAAAAGACTTTCCCATAAGTAGACATCTGTTCTAATTCTGTAGAATCTGATACATGCTCTGTCAGCAATTATTTACTTCTGTTCCACTACAGTAATACTAACATACAGAAGCAACAAACCTCTTGAGAGCACCATGCTATTACCAACTAACCTCACTCATGTATCAAAGCATTACCTCATCCTGGTTAGCTAATGCACTGATGTCATCCTCTGGGGAAGATGATCTCATTTCTCAAAGGGGAAAAGAAATCTGTCTAGGACAAGCGTTAAGTTTACGCTTGTCTGCTTTTTGGTACTACCACTTGCTCCCCTGAGCTTCTTTGACAGAAACACAATTAAGAAAGTTAAGATGGTTCTACGAAAACTTAGCAATAATACAACTAACATATCTGATAATCTAGGTCAGAGCTTTTCAACCTTTTCACCCATTGTACCACTTTTAGGATATGGCAACATCCGAGTACCACCAGACGCCTAGAAAGGTGTCAAAAACTTGATGACCAAAAAAAAAAAAAAAAGGAAAAAAGTGATAAAGTACAGGTAGTCCTCGACTTAACAACAGTTCGCTTAGTGACTGTTCGAAGTTACAATGGCACTGAAAAAAGTGCCCCCCGAGCCACAGCCGAGCAAGACACCTGCCTGCTCGCCTGGCCGCGCTCTTCCTCCTGTCCGAGGTTTTCATTGTTGTGAGCATTTCTGTTGAGGATTGGCAGCGGGGTGGGGGAGTGTTTGGTTTTTATTCCCCCCGTCTGCTGGGTGGTTGCGGCAGGTTTTGGTCACTTCACATGACCCTGGGACACTGTGACCGTCATAAATATGAATCAGTTGCCAAGCATCTGAATGTAAATCACAAGACCCTGGAGATGCTGCAACATTCCAGCTGATCGGCGCTTCTTTTGGGCTCAGCAGAAGTGCCAGGATCAGTGCTGCTTTCCAGCTGATCGGCGCTTCTTTTGGGCTCAGCAGAAGTGCCAGGATCAGTGCTGCTTTCCAGCTGATTGGTGCGTCTTCAGGGCTCAGCAGAAGCATCAGAATCAGTGCCGAGCTCCAGCTGGAGCCTGGCGCTGATCCTGGCGCTTCCATTGAGCCCCGACAGCCCCGAAGAAGCGTGGATCAGCTGGAAAGTAGCACTGATCCTGGCTCTTCCGCTGAGCCCTGACAGCCCTGCAGCTCCAGCCATCTCTCGCTCAGGCTTGTGCGGTGCTGCCATTGGTTCAGCTCATTCCCCTCCCCTGCTACCACTTTTCTAGGATGGTCGCGTACCACCTGCCAGGTGCCAATGTACCACAGGTGGTACCCGTACCACTGGTTGAAAAGCCCTGATCTAGGTCAGGGGTGTCAAACTGCAGTCCCGCGTTCTGGATGCGTCATGCCGAAACTGCACCCACCCCATTGCTGGCAATGGGAAAAAAATTGCGTTATGTTGCAACACATCACATGATGTTGCGAGTTTGACACCCCTGATCTAGATCAATATAGTTTTTTAATGTAATTTAAACTTAAAGATAGCACTTTTTATACAATAATAGGTAGTGTTGGCTTCCTTAGAGAGGCATTGAAGAGGAAATAAAAATAACTTCTAGGTCAGGGGTTGCCAACTCCTGTTCCGTGGACCGGTACAGGGCCACAGCATGCCAGCAATCGGTCCGCACAAAAAAGCAAAGTCCCATCTGTGGGATGCAGGCAGCACACAAAACCACGCACTCTCCGGTCAACGAAAAAATCTCTCCCCACAGATCCGGTCCCTGGTGCCCAAAAGGTTGTAGACCTCTGTTCTAGGTAATATTTGAAACCACGATTTTCCATATTCTTCCCCAAACTACTGCTTGCCTAGGATAGTATTCCTCTAGAAATTGTAATGTTTCAAAATACTTTTTCAGTAAGATGTTTTTCATTCAGCATTACTGTATCAATTTATAATTTTAAATATAGTAAATGTGATATATCAAGAAAAACAGAATCCAGATTCCCAGCTAAATGAGTAGGTCACAAATACTATTAACTGTAAAGGAACCAAGGAAGTATCCAGGACAGGACACTTTCTTTCAATTGTGGACTGCATCAGATTTGAGAGGCACAGAGAGGCAATCTACATTTTACTTGAGATATTTACTTGCTTTATGCTGGGATCCCATTAATTCATAAATTGAAAGATTCTTGAAAGCAAAATTAAGAAAAGGTAGGAATGCAAAGAATGCAATCATAGAGCATTCTCAACTTGATGCAATATATTGGGAAACCAGAAATTATTTTTATTTATAAAATCCTTATTGAAAGCAGAGTTGAAATAGGCTGGGCGTGGCATAGGCTGGGCGTGGTCTTTTCCAGTCTTTATGGTTTGAGGCTTTAATTATTTACAGGAACTGGAGGCAGCCTTGATTAATCTGCCTAATCTCTTAGATGAAGGCTGGGAGTGGTCCTTTTCCAATCTTAATGGTTGAAGGCTATAATTATTGACAGAATTATTGCATGTAACCTTGATTAATCTGCCTAATCTTTTAGGTGATTGTTACATTTAAAAAAACAATGGAAAAAGATGTGTTCCAGATACATCTGCATCCAGTATGGTGTAGTAGTTAAAGCATTGAGTACAAAAGGGGAGGCACAGCTTCAAGCCTTGAAAATTTGCTAGATAATAGACCAATTACAGTGCATCAATTTACCCTACTACCCAGAATTGTCATTGTTGGGATAAAATGAAACCATATAATCTGACTGGAATTTTAGAAGGGAAGACAGGATATAAATCAAATAAGCAAATAAATGGTTTGTGATGAACTTCTTACAAAAATCAGATAATTTAAGGTTAGCCTCAGAATACAAATAAGTGAAATAATAAAACCAGCTAGCCCTATATAGTAACTTTGTTTAGCAATCATTGGCAGTTACAAGATTGATGAAAAAGTAACTTTATTACCAATTCTTGCAAGTCCATTAAACAATGGAAAGCTAAAATAAAATCATAAGCACAGATGCAATTTCACTTAGCAACTGCTTTGCTTAATGACTGAGTTGCTGGTTCCATCTGTGGATATATTAAGTCACTTCCATTCTGCGTAACTTTCATTAGTAGCAAGTGAAGCTACAGTGCCCAGATACTACTAGCATATAAAAGGCACACATAGTAAACTGCTCTTAAGATTATTGCAAAGGTCGGATGTTCTTTTGAAGAGTTTCATCTGTCAGAACCATGACACAGGAAATGTCATCTACTGGCATTCTAAGAGTTTTTAAAAGTCACCAATTTTATCCCCATGTGTTCTCCTATTAGATCTCTTTGCACCAGCTGTGTAAAGGCACTATATGAAATTTTCTCTTGGTTATGTCATCAAATACTTTAGTTCCAGAACTCTGCAAAATTAGAAAATACAATACAACCTGTAATTTAACTCCTGAAGGAAAAGGGAAACTATAAATCTAACTGTCCTCAGTTGAAAACCTAAAGAATTTTGAGGGAAGCAAAATATTTAGAGAACGGCATTCTCAAGGAGGCTTTTCATATAGATACTGCATGCAGTATTAACATTTTCTAGATAGCAAGTGCCCCTTGTTTTCACTGGGCTGTATTTCTGAATAAACTACACTAATATTGTGCTGCAATTTATCAGACTTGGCTCCAAATTAACTTGTTCTAAAAATCTGACAATTCTTCGGGAAAAGATATTTTTAGAACTATGCAAAATATTTGGTCCTGCATGTCTGAGGAAGCACTTTAGTGCTTGTTCTTCACACTGCAGGATGTAGTTTTGGTAGGCAATTTCAGTGTGAACTACCTCTTGAAGACTGTTTATGAACTCATAAACTGCCATACATTCATTGTAATTTTGATCTATATACAAGGCCTGTCAAACCCGAAGTCAGGAACTAAAACCAATAGTGAACCCAAAATTGTTAAGTTTTGTTTTGCAAGCCATGCTCTTGGGATGCCGAAATAGAGGTGGAGAATCAGTGTTAAAGGGTAGTTTAATTTAGGGTAGCCAATCTATCAAATGCCTTAATACTTTTGAAAATTAAACTCCTCCTCTTTTAGGAATACAGCTTTGAGTTTTAAGAGGCTTCCTTTTCTTCACTTAGTTAACTGTAGTCGTTTGGTGTTTATTTTTTTAATATTCAATGCTGGTCTGTGACTGTAATAAAAATTTATTTTTAACATTCATTTCTCTTTCTCTTATTGAAACATCATGAAGCAAAGGACAAAGACAGACAGGAAGGTAGTCCCAATCCACTGCCAAACCAAAATCTTTTAAAAATCTTTTTTAAACTGTTGCACAAGGGGTCTCGGGATGGGCATCAAAGAGAACGGGTAAGACTTTTGTTTCCAGGCAGGACGCCGATACCTACTATGCAACTTGCCAGCAGCTGCTCGGCCACTTCTTAATTTCCGAGGCTTATGTAGGTGAGAAAGTCTATGGGGTAGAAGTAAGCAAGAACAATTAAGCACGATGGCGCCAATTAGCAGCTTCTACAGAAAGGAAGAATGGCGATCCAAGAGAGCAACAGGAACGTGTTCCGCCTCTCTTGGAGGGTTAGCTTGGTTGGAAGCAACCTTTTAAGGAAAAAATACTTTATTTCCAACCGGGACGCAAGGACCACCGCACCGGGCTAGGAAAGAACTGCTCGAGGGACTCTCTCCCCGTCCAGCACCAGTACCAGCCTGGGAGTGAAAAAGTGATTTAGGTGGGACCACCACCACCCAACCTGGGGCAGGGTAACTGACCTCTGGTGACTCCTCCTTCGCTCCTACGGTTTTACTCTCTTGCCGGCCGCTTGCAGGGCTGCCTCCGACCGCTGTCTCTACGCTCGGTTCCCCAGCCCAGCCTCGCTTTTAACCCCGCCCTGGAGGAGGGAGCAGAAGTAGGAAGGGGGGAAAGGAGGAAGAGGTTGCCGCTGCCTAGTATTGACGACGACCCCAGCAACAGGGACGTTTGTCCAATCGCAAGCGCGGGCGCGGTTTTCTTCCCGCCGTCTTTCGAAGCTTGGCTGGCAACCGCGGCCCTCCCTCGAGAAGGGGCTGCATGAAGCCGCCCCCTCTCCCCGCCGAGGTAGGTGGGACGAGCGTCCTCCGCTTCATCCCAGTCGCTGGGACGAGTATAAGATGATGTAATCACGCGACCTCTGATTCTTTTGTTTTCGAACTGCATGTTGGTTTTGCAAGTTGCACGGGCCTTTGAGTTTTTCTTTAGAGCTGGCAAGGAAGTGAAGGTTCAAAAACTATACTATATTGCAGATCCCACCCTTTTTATATATCCATATAATTAGGCGGAGAGACACGGGAGGACACCTTTTGTGAAGAGGCACTGCTTTAATTCTCAACGCTTATAGGAGATGCACATCCAGTTTGGTGTGCACAGTCTAATCAAACTGCCAGATATAACAAATATGAGAAATTGCGAACTATGGGCTCATTTGCAGAACAAAACGCCTAGCATTAATCATTTGCAGCAGGCGGAATGCGAGTTTCTATTCACTCTCAGCCGATGTGAGCTGGCAGCCTCGTCTACTGCTTTTCTCACTATGTATCAAAAGTGCTTTCCACTCCAGACAGGAGTGTTTTGGTTTAGTCATCTGCTATACTTCAGTTCGTTTTGGGCAAATGCCTCCATTGTACTTGGCTACTATGCAGTGGCCCCTCCCTTCCACTTGCTTGTTGCTCTTCTCCATAGTTATTTCTCTGGATTACTTGTCTCCTGAAAAGCCTTCAGTAGCTGAACCTATGGACCAGATAAATAATGGGCTCTTTCGTTACAAGTTCACTGATGGAAGAATGAAAGGCTGGATTTTCTTTTTATTTTATACATCCATTGATGAAATAGTGCATCCCTCCTTATTTCTTAAACTAGCTGAAATTGATGCTATTTCTGCCCATCTCACTTTCTATCCCAGGATCATGTTTCTGTAGTCATCTCAGCATGCATTCAGTTTTAATGCATTTTTGTAAAATTTTGGATTCAGAGTGAGTACACACACACACCCACACACACACCCACACACACACACACACACCCACCCACACACACACACACACACACCCACACAAAAACACACTCATTGCAGAATAAGTCAGTGGGTTCTCAACCTTTTCTTCACCATGGACCCCTTTAAATACCTTTTGTGGCCATGAACCATGGCCACGGACTACCAAGACTTGACTCAAGATTTATATCAGAACATTTCTTCTAGCCTTCGCAAACCCCCTGGGATGACATTGTGGCCTTCCCAGGGGTCCGCGGACCACAGATTGAGAACCACTGGAATAAGTGACTAGATATGTACATTGTGGTTGTGAAAATACACTTTTCTGTGCTGTCATTTCAATCATAAAAATGTCAAGATTAAACCTTACATTTCTTGTGATTTATGTTACTAATGTTCAGGCACAATCCTAAAATTGCAGTTATAACCTATGTACCTTGATTATATTTATTCTTTCATAACTATTTTTAATATTTGCTACTTTAATTACTACAATATAAAAAAGAAATTGTAAAAAAGGAAAAAAAGCAGAAAACTAGAAAAAACATATTACATATACTTAAAACCCAAGTTATAAATGCATCATTAAACCTTTATCACAGGAAATAATATTGACTAAGGCTGCATTGTTAAAGATCCAGTTCTTACTATAAAGTGAACACATATTGGCAATCCAAGACTAAAACTCAGATTAAATTCTTTTTCCATCACTGATGTATAAATGCCAAGAAAACTACATGAACTTGTCCAGACAATCTCCATGAATCAGACATAATTAAACAGAAGGAAAAAAAGATAAGTTAAATTACAGTTTAGTAAACAAAAGCTAGCAACATTTTGGACATATATAGTATTTTTCTTTCTCTATTAGAGTAACATACTATTGTATTAATTATTCTATATGTATTTTTTTCTATTAAGATAATCTCACTTCATCATTAAATTGAAAAATGCATCAAGGATAACAAGTTTCTATTGGTAAAAATTCAGTAACAGGCTAGCTGAACAGCATATTAATCTAGTACTTCATGTATTTTCATGCAGATATTTTTCTTTACTTTTGAAAACTAAAGATTGAAAGCTATTGATTGCTGCGCAAGGAAACTATCATGAATATCGGTAAGTTTATTATTCGAAAGCCTGATAATGTTTATAATGAATTTGCTCACAAGTAAAAAAGCTTGCAATTAAGTTTTGATTTCTGTAATATATATTCTATGAAAATCTGTTTGAAAGAGTAGAAGGTTAACTGGAAAGATTTTTTTTTAAAAAACTATCTCTTTCCCGGCTCCAATTTCATTACCACATTTTTACTATATCCTAATTCCTTCAATAAGTGAAATAACATTTTTAATATGTTTTCACGTATATACTGGGAATTACTTTGAGCCTGCCCATTCCACTCGTAACTCGAAAACTCGTAGAGTGAATCTCGGTCGAGGTACAAGATCATTCTCCTGCTTGTTAAAACGCACGTGACTCGTTAAGCGAACATGAGGTATCTCAGGGTGGGGAAGGCCATGGAGGGCCTAGTGCCCCCAAGGCCTCCCCGACCCACTAAGATACTGCATGCTTCCCCCACCCTTCCTGCCGTGCTGGACTTACCTGGAAAAGATCCGTCTCCTCTCTGCTGCGGATCCTGCTGCTACCCAGATTTGAGGTCGGGGAATGCTTCTGTGACCCCTGCGCGGCCCGAGCCGGGCTCTGGAGGCCTTTACAAGGCTGCTGCCACCTCCGTTCCTGGCGCAAACTGCTAAGAAAACGCCTCCGAGGCTTGGATCAGGCCCTTGAAAGCTCTGTTCTGGGTGGCAGCAGCTTGGAGCAGTCCTCTGTGGGCTTGATCCAACCTCCGAAGGCATGCAGAAGTCCCCCCAACCTCCGTTCTTGTTGCAAATGGCTAGGAAAACACCTCCGAGGCTTGAATCAGGCCCTTGGAAGTTTTGTTCCGGGTGGCAGCAGCTTGAAGCAGTCCTCCGAGGGCTGGATCCAACTTCCTCCCCCAGCACGGCGAGCTCCGGCCGGCTGGACGTGGGTGCGAGGAGCCTGGCCTTCTCCCTCAGTTGAAGGCTTTAGGCTTGCTGTCAGACAGAAAGGAGTTGGGGGCAGGACCAGGAGACAGGCACCTTTCACATGAACGTTTCTGAAGTCCGTGATTTGGCGCAACTTCAAACACGCGAGATCACAGACTCCAGAAACTTCCATTCTCGGTGCAAAAAACATTTCCAAGCCGACTCTCCCCTCCTTCAAAGGGAAAGAAACCGTGGCAGAGAGGATTTTTGCAAGGTAAGTGAGTCCTGCGCAGCAGGAAGGGAGTCTCTGGGGAAGCAGTTGTGAGGAGTGGAGGGGGGAAATAGGGTGAATGTTGCAGTGCCACTGAAGTAGCTTGTAAGGGCGAATGGCTGCTGTGGTGCTGCAATATTTGTAACTTCGGGACTTGCTCGTAAGCACTAGGGGGCGCTCATCACGTAACTTTGAACAAGCGTTAAGTGAACGCTCGTAACTCAGGGATTACCTGTATACACCAGCATAGGGAGGTTTTTCTTTCCCATTGTAGGCTATTGTCTTTTTTTTATTTGTAATCAGATTTCAATACTTGGCTACAAAATTGTTGCAAAAGTAGCCAACAGTATATGCTACTAGTTACATATCGTGACTATTTATTTATTGGATTTGTACCTGCCACTATCAAAAGACTCTGCACTTTGCAGTTTAGTTATAAGAATAGTATCCTAAAACATACACACTGTAGTACAAAATTAAAGACAATGGCAACAAAGCTCCATCCATAACATATCAATCATAGCATCTCGACTTTCAAAGGCACTCAAAATAATTTAGCTTTTAATAGCTTACACAGAGATCAGTGTAATTTCCCTGGGTAAACTATTCATAATGCAGATGTACTCACTGAATAATGGTGCTTGTATGTCTTATCCCCCTTACTGCAACAAATAAGTACCAATACATTTCCTGACACATGCATATATATGACAGGTCAAATCATGCTTGGCCCTGTTAATGTAGTACAAAGCTATATAGCTCTTTATAATTGCACCAAGAACTGAACAGAGAGCTGTTGTCAGGTCAGAAGTGTAATGCTGTTGCCAACATATGCCAGCCAGCATTTGGACTATTGCATTTTGGACTAGTTGTAACTTTTTAAGTGGTCTTCAAATATAGCTACTTCTTGAATACATTGTAGTGATCAGCAGGAAACACCATTACGTGGTCCTCCCAGTCTAAGTAAACCTGCAATGGGCACAACAATCAGAGCTGCTGCCACCCTCTCCACCTGCAATACCTATTCTTTTTGGGATATTGCACCACACAGCAGTTGACAGAACTCCTTGATGTACAAACAGTAGCTCTGTTCTGAATAGGGTTAGGGTTGATTTGTCCATTCTGGCCCCTAATATCTCTCAGATGCCAGGAGAAGTCATTCACAAATCTCTTGGTTGTCCCAGGATCACCAGGTGAAAGAAGACAAAACACTGCATATGGAAGCAACTACCAGGCCAATCTCTCCTCCCACTGCCCAAATGGAATGACCCACTAAAGAAACAGCAGAACTGCTATAAGATAGTGCTTTTAATCCCCGATCTTTTCAAATGGTCCAGAAAGATGCCAGACTAAATTTTATAGAAGGCCCCCAAAAGATCTAAAAGAACCAGAAGGGATATGCCACCCTCATCCAGCTTCTAAAAAAGTCCATAAGAATGGCCAATATTGTCTCATTCTATGTCCAACCCTACATCCTGACCGAAAACAGTCCTACTAATTCACTTTCTCTATTATGCTCTTGAAATCTGCTGTAATTATATCCCAAGGGAAAGGATGCTAGCTTTTAGGATCAGAAGACTTTCAGCATCACTCTCTTCTGAAGCCAGGTTGGATCCAGATCATCACACACTTCTGATTTTCGAACTCAGGAGAGGATCCAACCTATAAGTGGCCAGAAATAGCCAGAGAGCACATTAACATAACACCTTAACTCTACAAAATCAGTGGAAAACTATCCAAACGCCCTCTGGAATTAATTTTGATCCATAAAATCCTGTGGCAGACCATGTTTATTGGTTTACTCATCCCATATAAAACAATCTTCTTTTGACTAGGAAGAGATCTGACAAAGGGTGATAGAAATAACTTCCATATCCAGATTACTAAACATCTAAAGCAAATACAACATGTGGCTTCCTAAATCTGGAGAAGTGGATTCCAGCCTAACATGTCTGGTCCAGGATTATATGAGACAAGCCTGTGGTTATCATGGAGGCCATAAGCAATATCTGACCCAGCCTCACACCCATAAAAGTTGACATCAGACAATATCAACACCAAAAGATCTTTGTCTTATATAGGGATCCTGCCAGAATGAAGGAAGATCCCCAACTTGCTCCAACAGCCAATTTAAATACAGGCATTTGGGAAAATAAACATCTAACTTTCTTCTACATCCTGGAATACATTGTATAATATGTTTGTAAATTATCATGAAACTTCTTCACAATTTATACATTTACATTTTGATAAATGTAATTTTGCTATAGGATTGAATTGGGATTTTTTCCTGGAAAGGTCTAAGTGTTTACTGTTAATTGCTTCAGGTTCAACCAAGAGAAAGTGGGAAGAAAAATTGAAGAATGTTGAGGAACTAGCATCTTGCTATATGCGGAGGCCTCTCTGTTCGAGTTACAAGCCAAAACTGTCCAATGCATTGCAACCATCTTCAGTTTGGAAACTATTCTATCGGCAAACTCATGCATTTAACTTTGCCAAGACTTGTAAAGAGGTACAGTAGTAATCAACAGGGTAGCATTTTTGACTATTGGATGTTAACAACTATTACAGGATTTTGACAATTTAGAAATTAATCTCTTATTAATTATTTTTATTTATGAAATGTTCCATATTCATAAACACAGATTTAGTCTGACTTTACTGTACAAATCCATGGATATTAAAATATGAGCTAATAAGTTTAGGGAACAGCCACATTTTAAATTACATAGTGAAGAAAATGTGAAAATTAAAATACACGAAGCCAACTTGCTTCTATTTCTTTTGAAAGAAGTCAGAAATGATCAATAACAATTAAGTACCTCCTTTAATAGAAATGGCTTAATACTGCTTACAGAATTGCGGTCGAATCAGCATCACTAAAAAATAAAAGAGGTATAATTATGCTTGGATAAACTTTTAGATTATTACAATTATCTGGAAGATGCAGGACCATCTGTATATTAAGCAGAAACCTAGTACACTGGAGGATTTAGATATACCGTAATAACACACAGCAAATAATAAAAATAAAAATACATATTTAAAATTGTTTACACGTGAAGTTCTTGCATTGTCAAACATAGGAGCATATTAAAAGCCCAAATAAGACAACAGAACTAAATTAATAACTAGCTTTGGATAATATGATTTTTAGAAAAGCATATGTAGTTATGTATGTCATTGATGTTATTTCAAAAGGATGTTCATGTATTTGCTTTGGAAAAGTGTGATGGAAATAATCAACGGCTCTATCTTGTGACAACATATACAGAACTTTGGTTCTACTACAGGTATGTACCTGAAGATCAAGAACAAAATTATTTATTGATGCACATTCTGTCTAGCAAAGTTTATTCCAAAATGTATATAGAATTGCAGTCTTTAGTATTTGTGGGTTATTTTTCCCATTATTATGAGATAGAATGAATTTTATCACACTTTTTAAAAAAATAAAGTTTAAATTCAGACTTTTGAATTTTGCTGTGATGCTGATCAAACTTCTTGCACATCAAACTTCTTGCATCAATTCTTAAACAGCTTCTAGAAGTACAGGTAATCCCCGAGTTGCGAATGTTCCCTTAGTGAACGTTTGAAGTTATGCAATAAGTGCCCCCTAGTGCTTACAAGCAAATCCCGAAATTAGGAATATTGCAGCACCACGGCAGTCATTCCCCCTTATGAGTGACCACAGTGCCATTCACCCTGGTTATTCCCTCCCTCTCCACCCCCGCCCCAGTTTTCCCTAGGTGCCAGGCTTTCAGTACTCACCCTGCGGAGATCGAGATCCTTCACTTTCTTGGCTGCTCCAGGCCTTTGGTGCGTTCACAGAGAATTTTCAACCAGTGGTACGGGTACCACCTGTGGTACATTGGCACCTGGCAGGTGGTACGCGACCATCCTAGAAAAGTGGTAGCAGGGGAGGGGAATGAGCTGAATCAGTGGCAGCACCACACAAACCTGAGTGAGAGATGGCTGGAGCTGCAGGGCTGTCAGGGCTCAGAGGAAGCGCCGGGATCAGTGCTGCTTTCCAGCTGATCGGTGCTTCTTCGGGGCTGCCAGGGCTCAGTGGAAGTGCCAGGATCAGCGCCAGGCTCCAGCTGGAGCTCGGCACTGATCCTGGTGCTTCTGCTGAAGCACCAATCAGCTGGAAAGCAGCACTGATCCTGGCACTACTGCTGAGCGCAGAAGAAGCGCCGATCAGCTGGAATGTTGCAGCATCTCCAGGGTCTTGTGATTTACATTCAGATGCTTGGCAACTGATATCATATTTATGACGGTCACAGTGTCCCAAGGTCATGTGAAGTGACCAAAACCTGCTGCAACCACCCAGCAGACGGGGGGGGGGGAATAAAAACCAAACAGGCCCCCACCCCCACTGCCAATCCTCAACAGAAATGCTCACAACAATGAAAACCTCGGACAGGAGGAAGAGTGCGGCCAGGCAAGCAGGCAGGTGTCTTGCTTGGCTGTGGCTTGGGGGGCACTTTTTTCAGTGTCATTGTAACTTTGAACAGTCACTAAGCGAACTGTTATAAGTCGAGGACTACCTGTACTTTGTCACTTTTTTCCTTTTTTTTTTTGTCATCAAGTTTTTGACACCTTCCTAGACGTATGGTGGTACTCGGATGTTGCCATATCCTAAAAGTGGTACAATGGGTGAAAAGGTTGAAATGCCCTGCTATAGATCACAGAGTCCTACTATGTTTTAGTCAAAACTGGCTGAAGAACCCAAGACCTTCCAGATCAGGGGTGTCAAACTGGCGGCCCATGGGCTGGATGCATCACACGCAGGCCACACCCACCCCAGCTCCGCAAAGGCAAAAAATGTCACAATGTGTCATGATACGTCACGTGACGCGATCGAGTTTGACACCCGTGTTCCAGATGTTACTGAGTTACTGAATGGCAATTCTCATATCTTTCACCATTATCTGTATTAACTAAAACTGCTGGTAGTTGGGAGGGGGTAATCCTTAGTCCCCAGTACTATACAGGGGAGAAGTTGAAATAGTTTACCTAATTATGATGACAATAATATTTCTGGTGTTCAATATAGCAGACATGAAACAAAACTGAAGCATTGCTATGAAGTCATCCCAGAAACAGCTGTTTGCAAACTTTACTTTGATTTGGAATTCTACAAACCAACAAATCAGGAAGCCAATGGAAATCAGATGGTAGCAGACTTAATTAAGGTAATTTTTTTAAAAAAATGCAATTACTGACATAACAACAGCTTACAATTGTAATAATAGATTAATGTCAGAATTAATAGTCAATGGAAGCTGAAAAATTGTCTATAAATTTAAGTTTAAATCTGAAAATAAGTTGCAGTACAGTTTTAGAAAACAATATTATTTGCTCGGGGAGAGGTGATATATAAGAATTATGTAACTTGTATTAGGGTATCTTAATTTTTTACATATAAAAATGAATGTTGTAAATGTAAATGGGGAAGTGTATAGAATAGGTTCAGAAGAAGGAATGAAAATTAAATCAGTAGTAGAAATGCATCACCTTATGTACCTGAAACACAGTACAGTCGGGCTCAAGATATATTCTGACATCTGAAAAGGTGGCCAACTTTTTCTGGGCCTAGAAGCAAAGCAAGCTCAGACAAGAACAATACATGGAAATACTAGAGTGATAAGTTGAAAAAGAATCTATAGTGTACACGAAGTGTTCACAAAGTCACCAGGAATTAAGCTTGGTTTGAAGGAAATTTTATTTTTTACAATGTCAGACGAGGAAACTAAATACAGGTAGTCCTTGACTTAACAACAGTTCATTTAATGACCGTTCAAAGTTACAATGGCATTGAAAAAAGTGCTTTATGACCATTTTCACATTTACGATCATTGCAGCATCCCCATGGTCACATGATCAATATTCAGATGCTTAACAAGTGGTTCATATTTATGACGGTTGAAGTGTCCTGGAGTCATATGATAAGCTTTTGCGACCTTCTGACCAGCAAAATCAATGGGGAATTCAGATTCACTTAACAACCATGTTATTAACTTAACAAATGCAATGATTCACTTACGAACTATGGCAAGAAAAGTCATAAAATGGGGCAAACTCACTTAACAAATGTTTCACCTAACAACATAAATTTTGGGCTCAATTATCATCGTAACTCGAGGACTATCTGTATATGTTTTTATATATCTGAATCTAAGTGGAGATATTGGGAAAAGAGATTACATACTTTAACCTACTACATACTATGTGAATGACCACTGAAGTATCAACTATAATTTAAGAAAACAGTTCAAAAATATTTGGATTATGTAACAATTTTTTTTGTCGGTTATGACAATTACTTTTTTTAAACTGCTACAATCCAAAGGGCTGTGTGCATGCATCCCATTCCCATGCTCTATTGTGTCTGTAATATATCTGTTGATATAATCAAAGTGAACAGCTGAAATGCTTGCTGTTTGAGGGAAAAGAAATGGCAGATGCTTCCTTGTAAATGGGTATGTATAAGGGGCCTGAGGGAGTCTTCTCTACATGTAATCTCTAGGCCACCATGCTTACCCTGGACCATTTTTATCACACCAGCCCACACACTCCTGGAAGATAGAGCCAACCTTTTCAGATTTTTTTCAAGTCTGTAGATGATGCAAAATGGATGCCTTGCAGAAGTTTATGGCAGCCATTAAAGATTCCTTAAATTCTGAAACGTGGGCCAGTTTTTCCTATTTGGCATAGAATGTGATAGGACAAAATGAGTACTTTGAGTCTCTTCAAGGATTACTGATTTCACTCCTCAAATTCTCTTTCCAGTTTCAAAACTTGTTGTCCCACCTATTATTAGGATATAATGAAGCCACAGCTACATTCTCAGTGGTTCTCAGAGACCAATTTTTTTTGTGAAAAAGTTCTCAAAATCATAAGAATGTTATAGATTGCTGCTGGTATATTTGTTTTGATTGTTTGCCTTTACATATGAACATACATAAATATGAAATGAAGAAGTATCTTTGTGATTGGGTTTTTTTTTAGTTTATAGGTAGAAAACTAGATGAATACTATGGAATAAAATGCTCAGCTGAGGATATTTTGAAATTGGATTCCAGCACTGAAGAAAAATATAGCTGTCATTTAATATTTCTATTAGAAAATGCTGCATTTAAGAATAATATCCACATAGGTAAATATTTCATATTTCAAATGCACGTTCCAATCCAATTGCTTTTATAAACTTTATACTATTCAGTTTGTATAATTACGTGAACATTTTACAAGAGAAAATTACAGGATTTATGGTGATTTTCCACATGTTTATATATTGTTTTTCTCTATTTATTCTAAAGGTAACTTTTTAAGAACAATTTTGCAACCTGCTATTCTTTTAACGAAGAGTAAAGATGCAATGGACCCCCCAAAAATCAACTCTGTTGGTCAGTGTTATAAAACTACCATTGATTTGCCTACATGTCTTGAAAACGACAGTTTAGTCAAGGATGCGTCTCAGAACTGGAAACTCAACTCTTACAAAATATCAGAAAAAGGGACATCAGAAGAAAATCCAGATCTTTCTTTTTTAATAGTGAATAGTAAACAAGGAGAAAAGCAACTGTTTGTGGATCTTGGTAAATATTAACCTAAATATTGTAGTTAGGCATTGCATAGCCTGCCACAATTGTTTTAAAATGGCAAAGATTTCTTTCCCTGAGACATGCAGCTTTGAAAACCGTAATTCATGGCTTGTGTAGGGTTTACTACGGAATTAGCATATTGGGACAAACACAGAGCATTTTCATGGTGTAACATGATTAATGGATATGTTCTTAACTATGAAACTCCAATGTGCCTGATGACATTTTAAGATATAAAAAAGTCATGAACAGCTATTGCAAATATATATGAATTGGACAACAGTCAGGTATTGATTAGTTAAGAACATGATTGGCTTGTGTCGTGTGAATAGCTCCGCTATTTTCAAATGTGACATTCACAGGAAAATAGCTGGCAAATACACCTGAAAGTCTGAATCTAGTATTTTGTATTTTTCTCTTAGTCTATATAGAATAGGTTATGCACTCCGGGGAATATTTGTATATTGCTTAACCAATTTTTTTCAATATACTTCTGTTTCAGAATTCTAGCACAAATTTGAGTGTTACATGACATCTGATGCTGCAGTGTAGGCCTGGCTCAATTTCTTCTCAATGTATGAAAATGAATCTTATAAGGGGGTAATAGGAAGATACCTGTAGGGCTTCTTTCATACAATTATATGACCTACAAATACAGAAAAATTATAGGCAATTATATCATTTTTGATATAATTTTTTGAAGAATTATTATGTGTAATATAATCTTCAGGTAATAGATCAGATATTCATTTTAGAATAGATTTTTAGAATTGAACAATCATCAAATTGGGCTTGCACACCGTATATCGTTAAATTTATATTTTGCTGCTTAATTTCCTTGTGTTTCCATTTATGAACATTTATTATTTAAGAAAAACGTAATTTCAGTGTCTACTAAGTATTGCTTAAAATATTGTTCCCCAAGCATTCAGACTGAAGAACACGTCAGAACTTGAAAAGTTCAAAATTCAGAATAAATGTTAAATTCTGAGTCATAATAACTTGATTTGTGTTTAAATCAATGCGTTCCGAACTTTTTCCTTCATTACCCAAAAGTATTTTCAGAGTTCAACTAATAGTCAGAAAGTTGAGACTGCCCCAGGAGCTGTTAATACAGTTCTACAGAGGAATTATTGAGTCTGTCATTTGTACTTCTTTAACTATCTGGTTTTGTATAGCAACCAAATAGCACAAGTACAGACTTCAATGAATAATTAGGACTGCAGAAAAAACAGTTGCAACCAGCTTGCTTTCCACTGAGGACCTATATACGGTATAGGTCAGAAGGAGGGCTGAGAATATATCTACGGACCCCTCACATCCTGGACATAAAACTGTTTCAACTCCTCCCTTCAGGACACTGTTATAGGTATTGCACGCCAAAACAACTAGACACGGAAAGACAGTTTTTTTTCTCTTGAGCCATCACTCTGCTGAATACTTAATTACCTTAATTATCTTAAGTCTAAGGATATTTACCCATGTAATATGGCTGTATTACTGTTATCCTTCTCATCTTTTCCTATTGGTATAATTATATTACTTAGTTGTTTGTATGAAAGCGTATGCACTGGAGACAAATTCCTTGTGTGTCCAATCACACATGTCAATAAAATATTCGTAACAGTGTAGGAGAAGGAATGGCAAGGTGGAGAGAAAAGAGGGATCAATCTAGAAACCCTAGGAAGTCATAAGTGAACTATGTCCAATCCCCCCCTTGAGTGCTCCTTACCCTTATTTGATTAACCAAGTGCTGACTGTTAATTGATAAGATTCCTGTGCAATAAATAAACTAGCAATAAATCAGCTTAAATGAACCTTCATGTGTGGACCTGGTCTTTTGCTCCTGACAAAGTTTTGTGTTCTTTACGAAGGCAGGTATGGAAAATCCTACTTCATACATGTAGGTTTTTGGAAATGGCATCACAGCCTCCCCATCTACCACAGAGAATTGTGAATTGTTAACAAGAAAAACTTCAAATAATCCTTCTTTTTTTCAATTAACATGTTGCATTGACTGACCTAAGCTCAGTCATTTATTTATTTATTTAATTTGTATCCCGCCTTTATTATTTTTACAAATAACTCAAGGCAGCATTTGTTCTGCAAAACCATTTTAATGGGTTTGTGTGTTGTGGCCCAAAGAAAACTCACTTTTACCCAATTTTGAGTAATTTACTTGGAAAGCACTCATTTAAATAAAAAGCAATCCTTCAAAGTATTTTTTTTAGCAAACTTGTTTCAGAAAAATGGTTTCTTTAAGAAACTATACCACATGAAGGAGAATCTTTGGATTCTATATTTCTTTTAAAAATGAAGACAATTGTAGTTTAACTTTTGAACACATACACATGTATAATTTGCCTTATTTTTCTGTGTTCTTTTCATATTTAAAGGAATGCAATGATAAAATGAAGACTAGAGTTAAGTATGGTTAGACATACTTATGCAGACTGAAATCCATAGTCTTAAAAATGCGTGTTGAAATAATTTTTATTCATGGATTAAAAAACCCCCATACTTTCTATATTTTTCTTTCCTTAGGGGTTTATACAAAAAATAGAAATTTTCGATTATACATGTCATCAAAAGCAGGACACACTGTCATTTTGAATATTGCAGAAGATAACAAGTTTGTTCCTAAACCTATAAACAATTCTTGCATAGATGAACAGTATTTTTTGTCCTCCTTGATCTGCAATGTAAGGTAGTAATTTCAAATTATTGCATTATTTCTTTTTAATTATTATTGAAGATGTTATTTCATTTGTAGCAGCAGTGATTTCCTTTGTCTGTTGTCCTTTTGTCTTTTGAGAATGCTTGAGGCAATAATATTTGAGGCAACTGTGTTACACAGAATCATACTAGACTTTAAGCATGCTAAGAGTTACTAGTTTGAGGAGTTGGGTTTTCTCAGATTCGGATCCTTGAAGGTAAAATGCTCTGTCATAGAAGAAGGAAAACCTTATCCGGGTCTGTTTCTCTCTATTTCAAGTCTGAATCTTAAAATTTCTTTAAGTCAACTTCTGTCATTTTATATGTAGTATATATTGCAATGAAAACACTCTTAGAATACTTTGCAAACTCAAAATAGTATTTTCTAATGAGCAACTATAGAATGGAAAAGATGAATAGAGAAGTATGGCTGGGAAAAAATTATGCTTATAATTCTTGTTGTTTTCCATCAGATTTTCAGACTGCTTAAAAATTTTGACCTGTGACAACCAAGAGCATTCAAGAGAACCATCCCTATATTTAGAAGACAAAGTATCAAGGAACTGTCTGGGTATTTCTATTACATTAAATTGAAATGTTGGTTCTAGTAATTGTATGGCACTGACATCAATATTTGACTATATGTAAATAAATGTAATTTTCAAACTTAACTGTGCATCAGGAGTGCATTTTCATCAAAAAAATTCTGTGGTTTAATTTTCTGTAAGGTAATTGATGGAACAATATTGCAGATTTAAAAATGTGTTTTGCTTCTGAGCAAGACTAAGGTTCTTGCATTTGTAATATTGATGATGCCTAATTATGAAAAGCAGCTTAGAAATTACTTACAAGTAGTCCTCGACTTACAATTGGTAACTTAGCGACTGCTTGAAATTACAAGCTACCTGAAAAAGGGGACTTACAACCCAGATTTGAAGTTCTGACGGTCAACAACCCCCCCCCCCAGACACATGACTGCAACAGGAGCTTAGCAACACCACTGCATTTATGGCAGTTTGTAGCATTTCATGGTTATGTGACCACATTTTACAACAGTTTTGCTGAAAACCAGTACTTCCAGTTTTTGGCAAAACAGTGCCCATACCAAACAATGGGTTCGCTTGTGACTCCCATGTTCATTTAATGACTGCCACAAAAATGCTGTATAATGGGTCTGTCACACAACTGAACCATTTTTACAACTGTTACGACTTATAACTATAATGGGCAGGCTCCATTACAGTTGTAACTTGAGGACTTATTGTACTGTATTTTCTAAAGCAGTCTTGAGAGGATCAGTGCTTACATTAATGAAATAAGAAATCATACTTTTAACATTTTTAAAGTGCTTTTGTTTTAAAACACCAGGCATATTGTTACAAAATGTTAACCCACTGTATGGCTTAATCGTAAATGTGCCTCCCAGTGCCTTATTCATACACAGTGCCCTTTGAGTTTGAAAATCGGCTATTCCTGTTAGTCAAGAGATGAACTAGCAAATATACTTTGATGTATAATGCAAATGTGCCCTATTGAAACCTAGCTGGTTCTTACTATGATTATTTTTTCTTTAAATTTGCTGATAATAATAAAGATGTAATTTTTTTTACAGCTCCAATAGAAGGATGCCACTGTTCACCTTACCCAGAAATTGATAATTTTGTTTGCACGTTAATCAAGAAAGATAATGTTCAAGGAGGTAAAAAAAATTGTACCTAGGAGAAATGTTTTCTAAAGGCACTTATATTGTTTTCAAGAAATAGACTGTCTTGTTTTTCAGGGATAAGAAGATGGAATTACTTTTCACTTGAACAGCTTATTGTATATGATATCTCCAATTATCGGTGGTGCAGAAATATTGGCAGAGCTCACAAAAGTAATAATATAATGTAGGTTCACTTTTTTGTTACTCTTAATATCTACTTAATGTTTTGGAACCTAAATTATATTTATTTCATGGTATAGGCTTTTGTAATTATTTTAGAATTTGCAAAGAAAGGGAATAGCAAGATTTGATGTATGTTGGAATACAGGGAATAAAAGTTCGACTGGTGAACATTTTTAGTCAGCATCAGTACATGGCAATGAACATTCTAAATCTAATATATGGGTGTTTCTCTATGTTCATATAGATGTGTATGCATGCATGCAGAGTTCAGTATGAATAGTTAGTAAATCAAATTTCATTCAGTAATGCTTAATCTTACATGAATGCTCGTCCTATTTTTCTTAAAAGTAATAGAAAAGGGGGAAATTAATTTCCTGGTACGGTATACAGAAATCAAATATTTATTTATTACAGAATAAACTTTGTCATTCTAAAATCATTTATATTTTAAGGATTATAATAGATTTGAAAAATGAAAATTGGTATCAGAAATGTCATGATCCTATTTGCAGAGCTGAAAACTTCAAGTCAGAATGTGAGTACATTCTGTAATTATCACATTATCATAACCTATTTTAAATAAATTATTGCTAATATAGTTTCACTTATATTCATGACATAGGTTTTCCACTACCAGCTGAAGTATGCTTGCCCTTCCTTTTCAAAGAGGTATATTTTTCTCTTTTAATACTGAAATTCAGCATAAAATAAGACATATGCTTAATCATAGAAGATAATTTCAAAATAGGAACTGATATATGTAATACATTAGCAGAATTATATATAAATATACCATTTTATTTTTGTTTGCCTTATAAGAAACTTAATTATCACAGCCATAAATCTTTACTAAATGTATTTTGTAATTATAAGGCTATATTTGGAAACCTTATTTTAGCAGTATGAGCTACATCAGTTGAAGCTTGTTGGAATCTGATTTCCAGGAATAGGTGTACAAAACTGTAAATGAGTGAAGTTCAGCACGAATCCTTATAATTTGTTCAGTGTGCAATTAAAAATAGATTTGTTCCCTCCATTAAGCAGGACAAAGTAAATAATATCAGTAACCTGGAATGGGAATAGTTGAGTAGAATATTTCTATCCGAACTGAGAGATATGGAAGACTGCATTTAACTCTTTTAAACTGGAGTTGTCTTCTATATTCTGCTAGTTTTAAGCAGCTTGCATACAGTTCTTTAAATCTGAAAAAATGTGTACTGTTCTATGCAGAACAACATTCTTATGGAAACCACCTATTTCAAAAAATAATTGCATATCAAAAACCGTAAATATAACTAGTTTGTTTTCTAGAACAAAGTATCAGTACTTAGAGTTTTTTTTCTACAAAGGATGGAGGTTATTCTATTAACCAGGTTTTGTTCCTCCCACTTGCTTTGATAAAGCTATAATTTTTTTCAGCATATCCCTATGGGAACAAAACAAATTAATACGGGCTGGAAAAGGGCACTGCAGGTGAAAAATAATAATAAAATATACAGTAGCTACAAGTTAAATTCCACCTCTCTCTATACATCAAATATGGGACACTGCATAGATCAGTGGTGGCGAACCTATGGCACGGATGCCAGAGGCGGCACTCAGAGCCCTCTCTGTGGGCACCCGTGCTGTCGCCACAGTCCTAGGCCTTCAGCTGGGTTTTATAAAACCTTTTTGCTTTAGGCCTCCGTTGCCATGTGCAAAAAAAAAAAAAAAGGTTCAATCAGTCAATTTCAACTTCTCACGGGAAAAAAAAGGTCTTGCAAAGTTGGAATTGATTGACTGAACTTTTTAGTCCCACCCAGTCTGCCGTTACCACCACAGCCATGCCCACCCAATGGGCTCCGCCCACCCAATGGGCCACACCCAGCCAATGGGCCACATCCACCCGGCACTCAACGATGCATAAGTGGGTTTTGGGTTGCAGTTTGGGCACTCAGTCTCTAAAAGGTTCGCCATCACTGGCATAGATAATCACAGTTCATCCTCTATATCAGTGTTTTTCAACCTTGGCAGCTTTAAGATGTGTGGACTTCATTTTCCAGAACTTCTCAGCCAGTATACTGCACTATCATTCATCCACCCACCCGAATCCTAAATACCCTCCCAGCAGTGTTCTGTTGCTCAGAGCTAGATAAGCCTAGAACTTTGGGGTTAGGTTTAGTCAGTATGTAATTGGTATGCTATAAGGCAATCTCACCAAAAGAGTATAATCTAAAATTGTAAATTTTGATGTTTCCTCTTTAAAGGATGAAGATTATGTAGGTACAATAAGTGAAAATAACACTGAAGAAAGAGCAAATACAGTTGATGTTACAGATTTATTGGACAGCATACCTTTTACTTCAATGCAAGAAAATAACAAGCTAAACAAGAAAAGTTCCAATGTTGAATGGGATCATGAGCTTGACACCTACCTTTTGGAAGCTTCTGAAGATGTGGAACTAATTGAAGCTACTGATATTTTTCATACCCAGAAGAACTGTACTGTGAATGAAATACCTGATGAGCTCCTAGCAGGTGTTTTAAGAAATTATGAAGTAAAGGGAAGAAAGGAAAGTTAGAAAAATCTTGTGGATGAATTAAATATCACACTAGCACAGGGGTAGGCAACCTTGGCTCTTTTATGACTCTTGGACTTCAACTCCCAGAATTCCTAAGCCAGCCATGCTGAGGGGAAAGGGAGAGGTTTCCAAGCTCAGCCATGCTGGCTCAGGAATTCTGGGAGTTGAAGTCCACGAGTCATAAAAGAGCCAAGATTGCCTACCCCTGCACTAGCAGATACATTTGGCAAATACAAACCTAGCAAAAAATTAACTTGATTATTTATCTAAAACTACTCTGGCATTATGTGTATAATAAATTTTGTGTCAAGCTACAAACCCTACTGTTTTTAGGACCGCCATAATGTTTCTAGGCTTATCTACAGTTACGAAGGGAGGGGGCAGAATTTGGGATCCACAGTTGCTTCTTATCAACTGAGAGCTGAAACTGCGGATATTTTGGTTGGCTAAAGTTTCTTTTCATAACAGTTGCTGGAAGATTAATTGGACAATGTGACCTGTCAGAGAGGGGAGGAAAAGTTTTACTCTTTTAATTATGTTTCCCGGCATATTCTCAGAGCTAGCTTCCTTTCTATCTTACCGGTTTGCTAATGTCTAATACAGCCAAAACATGATACTAAGCTAGGTCTCTAAACAATTCCAATTCCATTAAGGGATCCTGAACCTCTATGCCCTTCTGGTAGCCTCCAGAGGGGTGGTGAAGATTCAGGAGATGCCTGAAACGGAGCAGCCGTCTGGAGCCGGTTCTGGATCGACCAGCGGAACTCCAGCTGGGGCCGAAAGCAGCTTCGTAACTCCACCAGCCTCGACATGCTGTAAGGAGAGAGTTGAATAAAAGGAGCCGACCCCAGCCCTGGAGTGGACAGGTGGAGCAGTGGCATTCAGCTGACCCAAATTGAAGAGGTGGCAAGAGGGGCTGCAGAAAGCTGCTGAAGCTGAATTCCCATTGCACTACCCTCAGCCCGAATGGGGCAGAGAGCTGGAGTGGTGGGAATGAGGAGCCTCGGAGTAGACAGCATCCAAGGAGCGCTGCTTGCCAAGGTGTGGCAGCTAATTGGTGGAGCAACTGAGGCAGAAGTTTAGCAACCTAGAGGTCCAAGGAGAGCCGGTCCCATGGTTGGATCCTAGACCCCAAGGGGGCTCAGCTCCAATCCCAGCATTGACATCGGTCCCTTTATCCCAGCACTTCGCAGGAGCAGCAGCCGCGGTGTCTGGAGGATCAGTTAGCACGCAGCTAGGCCTGCCTCTCCAGCCCAGTTGCAGTCCGGGGCAGAGGGCCCACAGCCCACCACTGGTGCCTGCTCAGCAGATTGGCGACCAGTGCCGGCCCCCAGGTATGGAATTCACCCCTGGACGTACCCAGACGGCCACCACTGTTGAGGGTAATATTTGATGGGAACCCTGAGAAGCTGGTGTTCTTCCTCAATCAAGTCTGGACCCACTTCAACTGACATGGAGAAGAGTACCCTGATGACGATGCCTGGGTGGATGTTAAAGTGGCCAACCTAGAAGGGGAGGCAGCGTAGTGGGTGACAATTCTCCATGACAAAGGCGCTCCCAAGCTGGCAGATCCAGATGTGTTTCTCTGTGGCCTCAGAGCCCGATTCGGGGACCCCACGCAGACCCAATGAGTGGAGGTAGAGGTCCGGAATGTCAAGCAGGTGGGTAGACTTGGGAGAAAACCTCTAAACGTATGATTATGAGCAAGAAGGCCCAGAGCCCTCCGAACAAGGAGAGAAAGCAGCCAGAGAAGGGAAGGGGTGTGAAAAAACCCCGAGTGCAGCAAGGGAGAGTCATGGAGGTGTTCAGCGAAAAAGAGTGCAACGTCCTACTCCCTCACCACCCCACAGACTGCACTATTGAAATCCTGCCTGGGGTGAAACTTCTTAAACTGAAAATGTACTCCATGACTCTGAAGGAGATGAAGGAGCTGAGGGAGTACATTGATAAGAATTTAGCAGCGAAATCCCGAGTAGCAGCACCAGTACTATTTAAGAAAGATGGGTCACTAAGATTATTCTCTGGGATCAACAGTGCGTGCGTGGAGAACATGTATCCCCTCCCTCTCATGAAGGACATATTAGGACATTTAGCCAAAGGGAAGATATGCACGAAATTAGACCTGAGGGAGGCGTACTACTGAGTGAGAATTAAGGAAAGTGATGCATGGAAAACAGCCTTCAACTGCCCCTTTGGTAACTGTGAATTCAAAATGATGCCATTTGGACTACAGGAGGTCCCTGCTTTGTTCATGCAACTCATAAACAAGGTGCTGCATGAGCATCTTTATAAGGGGGTTCTAGTGTATCTGGATGACACCCTCATTTACACTGAAACCATGGAGAAGGACATGAAGCTTGTGCAACAGGTGGTGAAAAAGCTATTGGAGGCTAAACTGTACGCCAGACTGTTAAAATGTGAGTTTCACAAATCTAAACTGGACTACTTGAGCTACTGTGTGTCCTGCGAGGGGATAGAGATGAACCCGGGGAATGTGAAGTCCATCTTGGAGTGGCAAGCCCCTAGCACTCGCAAGCAGCTGCAGAGTTTCTCGGGGTTTGCAAATTTTTACAGGCAATTCATCCCCTTTTGCCACAATTGCCTTATCAATCATTTAGTTGTTAAAGACTGAAAAGGGGGGTGGGAGAAACCCTGGCCGAATCAACCCTTGAACTGGCCAATGAAGTGCCAAGCGGCATTCAAAAGGTTAAAGGGACTATTTGCCACTGAACCAGTGTTAAAACACCCAAACCCCAAAGAGCCTTTTGTGATCCAGGCAGATGCCAACGTGGCTGTGGAAGCTGTCCTCCTCCAATGCAGTGAGGAGGGGAACCTACAGCTGTGCATATACACATCTGGCAAGCTAAATAAGACAGAACAGCGATGGGCTGTGGGAAAAAGAGGCTTTTGTGGTATGATAGGTGCTACTAACTTGGAGGCAGTTTTTAGAGGGAAGCAAAGCACCCTTTGAAGTGTGGACTGATTATAAAAACTTAGAAGCCTTGAACCCACCCCCCCCCCGCAAGCTTTCTCCTAAGCAAGTCAGATGGGCACAGTATTTCAAAAGATTTGATTTTGAACTAAAATACATTCCAGGGGGGAAGAACTTCCTGTCTGATGCCCTGTCCCACATACCCCAATTAAAAAGCACTCGGCAGGAAGTGGTGAGCTCCGTCATTCCCAATAGGCAACAAGCAGCGCAAGCAACAACCAGACAGGAGAAAAAGAGCTCACCCCCCACCGATACATTTGTCCAACAGCTGAAGCAAGAGCTGCAAACTGACTCCTGGTTTGTGGCTTATCAGAGAGAATTGACCATGAGGGATGGAGTGGCATGGAAGGGGGACAAATTGTTTGTCCCAGACCGTCTGCAGCTACAAGTCCTACAAAGCAGTCATGATGCTAAACAGTGGGTCATTTTGGGTTCCTGAAGATGCTGCACCTCAACAATTGTCAGTTCTGGTGGCCAAAGATGAAGAGACATTGAGAACTATGTAGGGAGTGGTGTGGTTTGTGCGGCCAGCAAAAGATTACCAGGGAAGAGTCTGGGACTGCTGCAGCAGGTGGCTAATCCAATCAGACCCTGGGAGGATAACCATGGACTTTATAGTGGAGCTGCCGGAGAGTGTGGGGAGTACCGTGATTTGAACTGTAATAGACCTGTTTTCCAAGCAAGCCCACTTCATCGCCTGTGCTGGACTCCCCTCAGCCCAGAAGCTAGCGAAAATGTTTTTGCTACATCTACCAGCTACATGGAGCGCCTAAGTGCATCATTTCAGATTGTGGGGTCCAGTTTACTGCTAAGTTCTGGAGGGAGTTTGTAAGGATGATAGGGTCCTCCTAGGGGCTCAGTTCTGCTTTTCATCTGAGTATAAATGGATCTGCAAATGAGCCAACGCCATAGTGGAGCAGTACCAGTGTTATCTCAACTACCAGCAAACAAACTGGGCAGAGCTTTTGCTGTTTGCAGAAGTGGCATATAACAACAGTACACAGCAGCACTGGTTTCACTCCATTTAAGTTACCCACAAGAGTGGAATTTGTGCCAATACCAGAGTGCCCACAGGAGCCCCCTCCTTGAGTACTCTGATTGGGTGGGTTCGTTCCAATAGGTCTGGAGCGATGCTAAGAAGGCTTTAACTAAGGCATCTGATACACAAGCAGATAAAAACAAGCAGATAAAAAACGAGCTCCCCAGGAAATCTTCCATGTAGGAGATAAAAGTGTATCTGTCTATTAAGTATCTTAAGTTGAGAAAAACTTGCAAGAAGCTGGGGCCAAAATACATAGGTCCTTTCTCTATTGTAAAAGTAATTAACTCAGTGACAGTAAAGCTAAAACTATCAAGGTTGTTGAGAAAAGTGCACCTGGTATTCCATTGCAGTTTGCTGAAGCCATACAGGGGATCCACAATGAAACCAGTGAGGAAGGCAGCCCCAGCCCCAATAATGGTAGAAAGGGAAACACTTTGAGGTTAAACGAATCCTCGATTCTAGAATCCACAAAGGGAAATTGCAGTACTTAATCCAGTGGGAGGATTAGTCGATGTCAGAAGTTAGATGGGTAAAAGCCCAACATGGAAAAGCAGATTGTTTGGTAAAACGATTACACACTAAGTACCTCCAGGAGCCGGAACTGGTACAAGAAAAAAATTAATAAGCCATGGTGTGTATTCCTTTTTGTTTTCCAGGTTCCCCTTCCCTTCCAGCGGGCCGGCCTGTCAAGCTACGAACCGTACTGTCTTTAGGACCACTGTAGTGTTTCTAGGCTTGACTACAGTTATGGGGGAGGGGGGAGAGTTTGGGACCCGCAGGTGCTCCTTATCAATATGGCAGCCAAAATGCTGAGATGTTTTGGCAGACTGAAGTTTCTTCTCATAACAATTGCTGGAAGATTAATTGGACAATGTGACCTGAACTGTCACAGAGGGAAAGGAAAAGTTTTACTCTTTTAATTATGTTTCCCACCATATTCTCAGAGCTAGCTTCCTTTCTATCTTACTGGGTTGCTAATGCCTAATAAAGTTACATTAGAGAACGCAATGTCTCTGGTGTTTTGCTTTGTTGGGCTTCTCAGCCACAACTTACATTTTGTATGTTTATTGTGGTTGATGAAGAATAAAGACAACTAGAGTTTAGAAGTAACTAGGTGCTAGAAAGGTGAATTTTAGGATTTCAGAAAAGGATTTTATTGAATTGCCAAATATGTAAATAGTAATGCAAATACATAAATAGTAATGTAATATATTTAGAGCTGACAACTGGAAGCATACGCTCTAAGTTTTAATTTTTCAACAACCATCTTCTTTCTTGGAAAGCAGCATATATGTACTCAACATGCAGCTACATATGCCTTGCCAGATGAAACATTACTGCAACTAAATAATAGCAAGATTATTTCTCTGTTGGAAAGTCTACTTTTATGAAAGAATAGGTTAAAGATCACTTGTTCTCACACAAAGTAAATCTATTTAAATTCTATATTTATGATTCAATGGTCTGTTTTGTTGCCTCATTATTTCTTTTTTGCCAAACAAAAGATTTTTATTTTTGAGTTAATCATATCTAAATATACCAGTAAGCATGCCAAAAGGAATTTATGGAGTTTAGATCACTGAAAAAAAACTCCAATTATTTATAGTTTTCCTACTTCAACTTCTACTTTATATTTTAATACATTGTACATCTGATAACACAGAATATAATTTTTAGTATGAATACTTAGTTTTTTGCAATCCCAAACTTTTCTGTAATTTTGTGTTGATATTTTGTAAGTGACTTTCTGCTCCTAAAATTCTTCGTGACTCCATCAGAAGTGCAGGAAGACTGGAAATGCCATACTATGGAACAGGAAGAGAAAAACAAGACATAGTTTAAAAGCTTATAAAATAGTACGCCTGTGTTAGAAATTCCTAATATTTGGACCTAGTTTATTACTTGCTTTCTGAATTCATG